GTTTTGGGAGATTGTATTTTTCTAGGAATTTGTCTGTTGCATCCACATTATCCAGCGTGTTGGCAGAGGGTTGTTCAACGTATTTTCTTACAATCCTTTGTATTTCTGTAGTGTCAGCGATCACTTCTCTGCTTTCATTTCTGATTTTATGTATTTGGGTCCTCTCCCTTTGCTTCTTGATGAGTCTAACAGTTCATCAATCTTCTTTACCATTTCAAAGAACCAGTTTTTAGTTTCATTGACATTTTGTATTCTGTGTGTGTGTGTCTGTCTGTCATTTATTTCTGCTCTAATCATTATTTCCTTCCTTCTACTTACTCTGGGCTTTTTTGTTGTTTTCTTTCAAATTCTTTTAAAAAATATAATTGATTTCAGAGAGGAAGGGAGAGATAATGAGAATCATTGATCATCTGCCTTCTGCATGCCCCCTACTGGGGATTGAACCCACAATCCAGGCATGTGCCCTTGACTGGAATCAAATCTGAGACCCTTCAGTCTGCAGGCCCATGCTCTATCCATTGAGCCAAACCAGCTAGATCTCTTTCTACTAATTCTTTAAGTTATAATGTTAAATAATTTTTTTATGAATTTTTCTTGGCTTCATCTTTCTACCAACAGACTGACATTGGCCCCGTCCTATCGGAGCTATGCAAATTATACCCTCATTTGCATTTATACTGGCCAATCATAATCACACAATATGGAAATCTCATTTACATGAAACAGACCAAAATGGGAAACAGGAGCCGAAAAAAATGCTATTTATTTGTTTATCTATTTATATATCCATTCATTTGTTCATTATACATCATTCATTCATCTATTCCCTTATTCATCATGCATTCATTAATTCATTCACTTGTTCATTTATTCTTTATTTTTTTTATTAAGATATTATATGTCTACATATCTTACCATTGCTCCCCTCTCCCATACATGCCCTTCCTCTCTATAGTTTTGTTTCCATTGTTTGTGCTTATATGCATGCATACAAGTCCTTCGGTTGATCTCTTTATCTCCCCCATTTATTCTTTATTTATGCCTAAATTGTTTTTTGATAACAAAGCAAGTTGAGGCTGTTGGTAATGGGTAACCCTATCCAACCAATCTGAAGTCATAGGTAGGAGTGGCTAAGTTTGTGTGGTGGGTGGGAAGAAAGATAGTTTCAGAACGCGGTTAACTCAGGCTGGATAATCCAAAGACCCTCTGACCCTCATCTTCTCCCCCATATGAGCAAACGCCTGTCTGTGGGGGAGAAGGTGGCGCTGTTGCTCTGGGCTCTTGTGTCCAGAAACTCTCTCTGATCTCCTTTCTCCTGCCCCCTGGCTCTCAGGTTGTCGGGTTGAGGAGTCTCCAGGAGGGAGGACTCTAGTCTGGGAGATGCTGAGAGCAGGACTTTCCATCTGCTTTGCTCGTTGTTCTTTGCGGGGAGCCCAGAACAGCGCAGGTACAGTGTGCTCAATGTCAGTGTGTAAATACACCGAGAAGAGATTCAGAGTTCCTGGAACGGGGGGTGGAGAGTACACAAAAATGAGAGGTGCACCGATGTGGAAAAAGGGGGAAAGTGTGTCAAACTCGCTTTTGGAGGAAGCACTGATGGCCCAGCATCCTCTAGTCTGAGGATCTCCTCTGACAGGCTTTTCTTCATTCCCATTGGAGTCACCTAACCCTCAGCAGGTCCGAGCACAGGAGGTTCAAAACTGTCAAAACCGATTTGGCTCAGTGGATAGAGCATCGGCCTGGGGACTGAAAGGTCCCAGGTTCGATTCCGGTCAAGGGCATGTACCTTGGTTGCGGGCACATCCCCAGTAGGGAGCTTGCAGGAGGCAGCTCATCGATGTTTCTAACTCTCTATCCCTCTCTAAAAAGTCAATAAAAATATATATTAAAAACATACATATATCAAAATTGCTCCAGAGAAACTGCATTGGCGGAAGCTCAGAGGCAAAAGCTGTCTTTGGGTTTGTGTTTTATTTTCTGATTTGAGAGGGAGGGAGAAACATTGATTTGTTGTTCCACTTATCTGTTATCTCTGGCTTTTTTTTTTTTTTAAGTATTTTTGATTTCAAAATTGTGAAAATGATATAATCTGGGTTTTTTTCTTACCTGCCACTTGCCGTTTTTATTAAATGTATTTTTTGTCTTACTGTTGGCTGTTTAGGATCAATCATCTTAGGTACAAGTCTACTTTGAAGTTATAAATCTTGTTAAGTTATAAATTTTCTGAAATTAGTGTTTTCTTCAAAGCCTAGTCTCTGTATACTAGGTTTCTGTCCACAACTTCAACATTTGTCACTTCCTCATCTTAAGGAACTAGTCTTAATCTACTTGTGGGCCTTTCTGATAGATTTCCATTATCTGTAAAGATGTTATTCTGTTATTCACTTTGTAAGAGGTTAATCTAAAAACTATTTTGTTACTTTTTTAAAAATATATATTTTATTGATTTTTTAGAGAGGAAGAGAGAGGGATAGAGAGTTAGAAACATCGATGAGAGAGAATCATCCATCAGCTGCCTCCTGCACAGGAATCGAACCCGGGACCTTTCAGTCTGCAGGCTGATGCTCTATCCACTGAGCCAAACCAGTTTCGGCAGTTTTGATATTTTATGTGGTTTCTTTTAAAGTAAAAATTTTCAAGCTGAGAAACATAGTTTATGGGAGCTTTAGCCCTCACACCCCCTCGAAAAATTCTCAAGAACTTTCTCGGTCAACTGTCCCTTCTACTTCCACCTGTCTCTGCTGTCCCTCTCCTGCTCCGTTTTGGCTCAGCTCCTGCAGTCTCCGGTGGGCACCCTGTCCTAGAAGGAGGTCATGGCAAGCCTGTCTGATGCTCCATTCGGACCAGGTGGCTCCGTCCCCCCCTTGCCCGGCCTCTCGCCCTCTCGCCGCTGGGAGGGCAGAGCTGTCCCAGATGCCCGTCTGCTGGCTGCTGTGCCAGTGGAAGGCCATTCCAGAGCTCTGCTCAGGCCCCCTAGAGGGCTGTCCCTGCCTCTGCTCCTGATGCCAGCGCCTCCCAGTGGCCTGGAGGGGGGTTGGGACTCAGTGAGATCAGTTGCTGAGTTTGCTGTCATGCCCAGTGACTGGCTCTCTAGTGCGGGGTTTGGAGATGGAGAAACTACTGCGCTGCCAACTTTTCCTCTGCTCCCCGCCAACTGTAAGCGCTCCCAGGCGTCCTGTCTGCTCCAGCCTCACTCCGGCCCCACTTTGGAGGCACCTGCGTGATGTCCCCATGGGCTGAGCTCATCGGAACTCACCCTGTGGCTCTGCCCCTGGAGGAGGGACGTGTAACCCACGTGCCTGACTCCCGTTAACCTTTGTGAGTATGTAGTATGTTTTATTCCTTTTGTCCTTTAGGTGGTATTTTAAATGGGGGGGGGGGGGAGGGGAGGGAAGAGATACACTTTTGCAGACAATGTCTGATTTACATTCTTCATCGTTCTATAGCAGGAAACATTCATAGAAAACTCAGATTTGCTTCTGTTTTTTGGATTTTTCTTTTCAGATGATTTTTTTTTACTGTTTCTTACAATGTTATGTTCATGGTTCCATTCTGACCTCTGTTAGGCAATAGTCCTCTATTAAGTCTCATTTACTTTTTAAATATATTTTATTGATTTTTTTTTTTTTTACAGAGAGAAAGGAAGGATAGAGAGTTAGAAACATCAATCAGCTGCCTCTTGCACACCTCCTACTGGGGATGTGCCTGCAACCAAGGTACATGCCCTTGACCGGAACTGAACCTGGGACCTTTCAGTCCACAAGCCGATGCTCTATCCACTGAGCCAAACCGGTTAGGGTTTAAGTCTCATTTAAGCATTAAAACATTCTGGGTCCCTGTCCTCTATCTTCTATAGCTTAGGTCAATGGTCGGCAAACTCATTCGTCCACAGAGCCAAATATCAACAGTACAACGATTAAAATTTCTTTTGAGAGCCAATTTTTTTAAACTTCTTCTAACGCCACTTCTCCAAAATAGACTCGTCCAGGCAGTGGCATTTTGTGGAAGAGCCACACTCAAGGGGTCAAAGAGTTTGCTGACCACTGGCTTAGGTAATTCTATGATTTCTTTAGCCCAGCTGGTGTGGTTCAGTGATTGAGCACTGACCTATGAACTAGGAGGTTAGTTTGATTGCCGGACAGGGCACATGCCCAGTATGGGGTGTGCGGGAGGCAACTGATCAACAATTCTCTCTCATCATTGATGCTTCTGTCCCTTCCTTTCTCTCTCTAAAGTCAACACAAATATATTTTAAAAAATTTCTTTACATCATGCCAGGTCTTCCCTTGCACAGCTGGTTTTGTCCAGGTGTCTGCCTATTTCTCTGTGGAGTGTGTGTATTAGAGACCAGTGGTTGCCAACCACTGGCTGGCGACTGCTTTATAGACTCGGCAGCTGTAGCATCTGACATCACACCTAGGACACTCATTCTAAATATATGTTGTTTCTAGCCTGTACTTCAAAAAAGACATATTTAAAAACAGGCTATTTGGAAGTTTAAGAATATTAGTGATGTAAGTAGTAGTTCCTTCCACTGTCAAATGTGCATCCCAACCAAACCCCTCAGGGGTAGGAAAGCCTGGCCTGCTTTGCAGCCACCTGCACGCCTTCCAACCCCCCCTTCTAGCAAATTTATTTCCCACCCACCCCCGAAAGGCAGAGAGGGGCACGTGGAAAACTGTGGAGCTTGGAGGGATACAGTGATTTCCTCTAGGATAAAATGATTTACAGAAATGCGGTTTTCCACTTGCCATTCTTATGCTCACAATGCAACAGAAATCCTTAAGAGTCAATTTCTATAAATTCCAGCGGGCCTGCCCAAATAACATTAAAACTTCCAAAACTGCTTAAAAATAACTACCCCCGTTAGCTGCGTATGCAAACGTAAAAAGCTGAACAAAGGAAGCAACCACAGAGTTCATATACAAAATGTCCTCTTATTTAAAAAGCGCGGCGGGACTCTGAGAACAGAACTGGTGACCCCTCTCGGCCAGGGAGGTTCAGTGGAATATCGCTCTCTGCACCCGCGCGCATTCCGGCTTGTGGAACATGTCCTCTTCCGTCTCCGGAGTGAGCTGGATGTTATCCTTGACTGGAGACAGGGGATCTGGCTTCTTACAGGAAGGGAGCTTCTCAGAATCTCTGCAAAACAGAACAGAGCGCCACGAACTTGGCGTCTTTAAAGGGCAGGGGCCGGAGGCGTGGCTCCCTGGTAAAGACACGCGAGCTGAGGCAGAATGAGTCCAACCTTTCTCATGCCGCGACCCTTTAATTCAGTTCCTCATGTTGTGGTGGCCCCCCCAACCATAACATTATTTTCGTGGCTACTTCAGAGCTAATTCTGCTGCTGGTATGAATCATAATTAAATACCAGTGTTTTCCAATGGTCTCAGGCTCTACAGCATCTCTCGTCTCGACCCACAGGCTGAGGGTCGCCCATCAGGGTCGCCCAAGACCATCGGAAAACACAGATATTTACATTTCAATTCATAATAGTAGCAAAATGACAGTTATGAAGTAGCAACGAAAATAAATTTTTAAATATATTTTATTGATTTTTTTACAGAGAGGGATACAGAGCTAGAAACATCGATGAGAGAGAAACACCGACCAGCTACCTCCTGCACGCCCGCCACCGGGGATGTGCCCGCAACCAAGGTACATGCCCTTGACCGGAATCAAACCCAGGCTTTCCAGTCCGCAGGCTGACGCTCTATCCACTGAGCCAAACCGGTTCCAGTGCAACGAAAATAACTGTATGGTTGGGGGTCACCACAGCATGAGGAACTGTGTTAAAAGGGTCACGGAATGAGCAAGGTTGAGAACCACTGCAATAGAGAAACGAGTTTTCTACTTGGCACCTCTTCAAATCTTGCTAAGAACCAATGTGAGGCAGGAACAAATGTTCTAGCCCTAACTCTTACCCCATTTTTGTGCTCTCCACCTCCAGGCACAGCTTACAGGTGACCGGCTGGCGCTGCCAGGCACAAGAGCAGGATGCTCCCCAAGAGCAACACGGGTCTGGTCAGGTCAGTGGGATGCGGGAAGTTCAGTGTCAGGGTTTCATGCTCGGCCTCACAATAACTACTGCTTGTTGACTTTATGTGATGTCAGAAAAGATTTACAATTAAATAAAAAGGCTATTACAATACCAATTTTCAAACAAAAAACACACAAACCGAAAAACCTGGTGGGGCCAGGTTTTCTTCATATACTTCAACCAAAACATACCAGATCAAACACAGATCAGGTACAAGAACCCAGCTGATTCCATTAAACTAGGTCAGTGTTTCCCAAAGTGCGGTACGCGTTGCACCGGAGTTTGGTGGGGATAAGCACTGCACCGTGCTTAGCGGCGCCTAATTCTGCGTTCTCATGAGTACGAGGGGTACCCAGCGTTACGAAAATTATAGAAGGGGTACACGTATGTCAGAAGTTTGGGAAACACTGAACTAGGCAATGAAGACTTGCAAATGTGTAGTGTTGTTGTTTTTTGTTTTTGTAGAACTATGCTATTGATTCTAAATACTTAATAAGTTTATAGTTAAGTGTCTATTTTAATTTCTAAAAGGTTAAATGTTGACAGGTGTAACTAATAATTTGGGGCCCTCAACTTTTAAAAGTATAAAGGGTTCCTGAAGACAGGTGTTTGAGAACTCATGCAATGTGGTTTAATCCTAGACTTCACCCAATGTAAATTGTAAGAAGGCGCTGGGCAGTGTTTTTACTAAGTGTTCCCATCCACACCGTTTCACCTGGTGACAACACCTCTGTTAGGTAAGGCTCAATCCTATGGCACCCGGGCAATCTTTGTGTTTTTCATTTCTTCTTAGCACACTTGCTTTAAGAACAAGAAAACGAACGAAGAGCGAGCCAAGATGGCTGCACTGGTAAATGCCTGTACTCCAGCCTCCCACAGCCATGTCAGGATGACAACCACAGTAAGAACCTTCACGCAGAACTGCCCGAACGCTGGGTGCACAGAAGCCCTGCAGCCGGAGAGACGGAGAGAGCACACAGACTGGTAGGAGGGCACGTGGGCGTTGTGTGTGTTTCTAACTGGGAGGCAGACCTCTCTGCAGAGGCGCCAGTGAGGAGGCCCGGCCTCAGGTCCCAGAGGGGGGGAGAGAGGTCCAGGCAGCCACAGGCTGTAAGAAGCAGGGGGATCCCAGCTGTTCCCCTTAAAGGGCCCATGTGCACACTTACAGGGTCCCCTTTCTTCCACGCTCCAGCGCTGGGGAGCCAGGCTCCCATGGGCAGGAACTCGGGGCGGCTCTCTCCCAGACAGGGTGTCCAGAGTGGCCCCTGTTCCCGTGCTGGGGCCTCCGGTCACAGGGTGACTGGCAGCCATGTCTGAGGCTCAATCAGCACTGTTCGCTCTGCCTTGGGGATTCCCGAAGACCCTAACCCGCCCAAGCTGGCTGTAGCTGCTTTTCCAAATGCATGGCCTGTCCTGACTCAGACTTCACTAAAATTAAACAAATCTCTCAAGCAGCAGCTGGTGTCAAACCTACCGATAAAAGGCCCAAGACCCGCCCTAGCTGGTTTGGCTCAGTAGATGCAAGGTCGGCCTGGGGACCTTGGTTCGATTCAGGTCAAGGGCATGTACCTGGGTTGCCGGCACATACACGGTAGGATGTTTGCGGGAGGCAGCTGATCGATGTTTCTAACTCTCTGTCCCTCTCCCTTCCTCTTTCCACAAAATCAATAGATTAAAAAAAAAAAAAGGCCCCAGCATCAGCACCAGCTGGCCTTGTTTCACAGCTGGGCCTGGGCATCTGAGCCCAATGCTAACAGCAGATCTCAGGAGTCCCTGCTGGGTGGCCCTAGAGCCAGTGCACCCAGCGGACAGCTTCAGACCATAGATTACACACCCGCATGCGCCACACTCAGGACGCAGACTCGGTGAGCACTGAAACAAGTGCTCCTGCACAGGGGTTCCGGCCCCGCAGCTCTCCATGTAGCTGCAGCTGGGCCTCACAGCCTGGCCTGAGGTCAACTCCTCCCAGTGACCCAACAGCAATCGAGGCTCAACTACAAGATGGGGCGCACCTAGAGGGCCCCCCAGCTCAGGTGACTGCGGAGGCTGAGCCATAGGACCTCTCACAAGGTCACTCACCACTTCCGGGAGACACAGCAACAAACATGGGGAAGCAGCCAAAATCCGGGGGAGACAGGAGGGCAAGGGAGCAGGAAGAAAAAGGTATCCATTTTTCATATATTAATCTAAAAATCAAAATGAGCCGAAACCGGTTTGGCTCAATGGATAGAGCGTCGGCTTGGGGACCGGGTTTGATTCCGGGCATATCCCCAGTAGGGGGTGTGCAAGAGGCAGCTGATCGATGACTGTCATCGATGTTTCTAGCTATCTCTCTCCCTTCCTCTCTGTACAAAATCAATAAAATATATTAAAAAATAAATAAATAAAAATCAAAATGAGTAGGAAACCTAGTGAACAAAATAAACTGGTGAATAAAATGTAATCAGAGGCAGAGAAGCATGGAGTGGACTGATGACTTTCAGCGGGAAGGGGGAGTGGGTGTGGAAGAGATAACCAAAGATCTTACCTTTAAACACGGACAGTGGGGTGGTAAAGCGTGGAGGGGGCAACTGGGGGAAAAAGGGGGACACCCCTAATACTCTCAATAATAAAAGATTTAAAAAGAAAATTGAGTTACAAATCAATGTTACTCTGCAGTTAATCTTGAAATCTAACAGAAGCATTGTAGATCTATACAGGGGCAACTCATTTAAATCCATGTTTGCCACATACATTTAGAAATCTGGCCAATTCATCTTATAAACTCAGTAATTCCTCCCATTTAAAAATTATTTTTTATTAAAGAGAGCGGGAGACACACATCAATCGGTTGCCTCCTGCATGCGCTGCCCAGGGCCCAGCAACCAAGGTATGTGCCCCTGACTGGAATTGAACCCGGGACCCTTCAGTCCACAGGCTGGTGCTCTATCCACCGAGCCAAACTGGCTGCAGCTAACGCCTCCCATTTTAGATGTGATAACTTAAGGAAAAATGAAAGTGCAGTATACCCAGACGCACAATTACCTTCCCAACCCCATGTCTTAACCTTGTTCTCATTACAATCCTGAGAGAGAAGGAAAGAAAGCTGAGGCACTCAGGCCAGGAAGAGTCATGTGATTTGCTTAACGAGAGAGACCCCCAGAGCTGACCGAGAACTGGGTGCTGTTTTTTGTGTGTGTGTGTGTTGTTGTTTTTTTTTTTTTTTTTTATCAGTTTGCCATCTCTTCATTAAAAGAAGGCACAGAAATTGCAGTTAAGGTATAGAGTCAGCTAAAGGAAATAGGTAAGAGAAAATGGATTCATAAGGGAACAGAAAGACTTGGGAGGAAGATTGAAATTAAAGAAACAGGACAACTCACTTTCTAAACCCGAAGTTCTTCCAGAGCTCATTGATCTTGGTCTGCATCCCCGGCCTGTTCTCGGCGTTGTGATGGGCGCTGTGATGCTTCCTTTTCTGGCCTCTCGCTGGCCGCCTGCTCAGCCCACTGGCCCGGGCCGGCACCAGAGGCCTGATCTTGGTGGTAGAGAGACTGTCCAGAGAACTAGACTTATACAGCCCAGGGACCTGGAAAATAAATGCCGGTTTTAATACTCTTGTTAAAGCAACTCCTTTAGTTAATGTCAAGCTGTCCTTTATACCCCAGAACAGAAAAATAACAGGCAATATGTAAAGATGTGCCGTTTACAATACTACAGAAATTAATTTTAACCGTTAATACATGTAGCACCTGGCACTTAAGAATTAAGTGAGGCTCTGCCTTACTCCTTCATCGCTGTCTGAATCCTTTTACAGTCGTTTCCTACCCATTATTTGTGGGGATCTGTTTCAAGACCCCCAGTGGCCCTGACCGGTTTGGCTCTGTGGAATGAAAGGTCCCAGGTTCGATTCTGGTCAAGGGCATGTATCCTGATTGTGGACACATCCCGGTAGGGAGTGTGCAGGAGGCAGCTGATCAGTGTTTCTCTCTCATCGATGTATCTCTCTATCCCTCTCCCTTCCTCTCTGTAAAAAATCAATCATTAAAAAAAAAAAACCCAGTGGATGCTTGCAGTTGTGGACAGCACCTAACTATAAATGCAATGCTGCTTCTCTCACTCTCTCACACACACACACACACACACACACACACCTATGATAAAGCTCTACACCTTTCCCATCCACACGAAGCCCTGACACTGCCTGCAGCTGTCACTTGTGCAGTTTGAGGTGTGACGATAAACAAGCACAAATTCTTTTCCTTCCTCAAAACAGAACATTCGATTTTCTCATGGATCTGAGCACACACTGCTTCCGCACACACTGCTTTCTTTTCACGTCACAGCTTCTCTCTCGGCGATCTGGATCGCAGGAGTAGCAATTCCATGGCGGCGTCACCACTGCCGCACTTGGGGACATTACTAAGTAAAACCCAGTCACTGAGCTGACAAGCAGCTGGTCCCACAACATGTGGCTGCTAAGCACCCAATGGGTGGGTGGGGTTACAGCGTGAATATATTGGACAAAGAGAATTAACATCCCAGGCGGGATGGAGACATGAAATGGAACACGGCAGGCAACGTAACATTTATGAGCTATTCATTTCTGTCATTTTCCATTAACATTTTCCAACTATAGTTGACCAAGAGTAACCAAAACAGCAGAAAGCAAAATCGGATAAGGGGACTCCTGTACACGTACACACACACACACACACACACACACACACACACACACGGCAACATAATACACACAGCTATTGCGTACTTTGTTTTTCTCACTAAATATATCTTGATTTTACTTAATAATGTACCTGGGAGATTTTCCCGCTTCACACATAAAACTTACTTTTGAATAGGTTGCCTGGTCCTCCACTGTCTAAATGTGCCATAATTTACTCAAGCAGGTCTCTGCTGACAGGTTATTCACACCAAAGGGTTGATTTTTGTTGGATGAAACACGGGGCCATTGAAGGGGTGTTTTTCGGGATAGCCATAGGGAGACATAAAACAGTGAGGAGGAGAGAGAACTGATGAAGCCGGCAGACGGCGTACAAAGAAGGAAAAGACTCACAGATGAAGGGGAAATCCTGGGGGAGGGATGAGAGAGCAAGACACAGGACAAAGAAATGTCGCCTCTTGGAAAGGATCAGGTTTAGTTGTTTCCTTCACCCCCTGCTGAGCTGGCATCTATGTTTCTAACTCTCTATCCCTCTCCCTTCCTCTCTGAAAAAATAAATAAATGAAATACATAAAAAGAAAAGGACAGCCCTGGCTGGTTTGGCTCAGGGGATAGAGCGTCAGCCTGCAGACTGAAGGGTCCCAGGTTCCATTCCAGTCAAAAGCACATGCCCAGGTTGTGGGTTCAATCCCCAGTGGGGGGCGTGCAGGAGGCAGCCGATCAATTATTCTCTCTCATCATGAATGTTTCTATCTCTCCTTCTCCCTTCCTCTCTGAAAAAAAAAATTAAATAAATAAATAAAAAAGAAAAAACATTAAAAAAAGAAAAAAGAAAAAAAAAAAGGACAGCTCTAAGATTTTGAAACTAAGTGAGAAAAATACGATTTTATTCTGAGATGCACGGCTTAGTGATAAGATGATGAAACTGGACTGAGAGGGAAGGTGCAGCGGAGTGAACCAGGAGTGATGGTTAAAACCCCGACAGAGAGAATCTCTGACAGAGAACAACAACAGATGATGATGGTTTAATGTCGGACATAATTCCTTTGGGGAAAGTACTCTCTACATTTCTAGTCCTCTCAGTTACTGCCAACAGTTTTGATATCTATTTCCAGACTGTTTACTATAATTATGTAAACATACACGTACGCATGAATATTTTTAGGTATTATAAAGCAAACAAAAACACCATGTTAATAACATACTTTTTCCTTTTCAAAGGCAGGATATGATTGAAAAGCCTCTCTTATCCAATGATGTTAAAAAAAAAAAAAAAGTCTTATATTTGCTATAGTATGAGATAGAAACCTTTCAGATGGATATGAGGACTTGAAATATTCAAAGTTTTTGTGCTTTAAAAAGTAAATATGTTCATACAGAAAAACATGGAAAACAACAAAGAAATCCCCCTTTATTCCTACCAGCTAAGACCTAAAACCAAGAATGTATTTAACAATTTGTCTTTTATCTCCAATTTTCACCAATATAACCAATACACAAGTAAATGTTCTTATAGAACTATTTCCTTAGATTCAAGTTCCAGAATGCACTTACCGGGTTAAATCACTTGAACTCTCTCAAATGGTTTTCCAGATATGACAAGGCAATTCAGTCTCTCCTAAATATCTGATTATACATCTCACTAGACTTTCACAAAAATGACGCATTTCTCAGAACGTACCTGCGCTGTGAAAAGGCAGGCGACTGTGGAGTCATTACAGATAGATGCTAAGTGAGCACGTGGGAAAAAAACCCTTATGCCACAAGCAAACACAACCAGAACGCCTACAATCAATAACACAGGATCCTGGAAGGTTTGTTTGAAAGTAGACATTTTTGTGTAAAAAAAAAAATATAGGCATTTAACATTTTTAATTGTGTTTATGTTTCTCATTTTCTGACATGTGACATGAAATAAATGTGACATGAAATAAATGAATGTTTTACCTTGTTTCTCAGAGGCGTGTCTTTTTTTGGAAAGTGAGAGACATGTAGCGTGGGTTTCTGATTACCTTGATTACCAAGTGACTTAAAATTGCAATCAGATTCCTAGATCCCCCAGATCAAAAAATAAAAATAAAATTAGGTTTTTACTATGGAATGTATATATGACAACTGACCGAAATTCAACAAAACATAAAACAAAATGAGAAAATCAGTATAGATATAACATTTTGGTTTTTCCCCCCCAGAAAAGAAAGTGTAAGAAGCTAGGGGCAGAGTAAAAGAAACGGACCTCATGAGAAGAGAATGAGGTTGCCAATTTTAGTTTAAAATAGGAAGACAGGGAGAAGGCCTTCAGATGAATGAAATGTAAATTGTCTACACAGTAATATCTAGAACGAAAAAAGTTAAGACCGTCAATTATTCCCATCGCGTGGGCAAACTTGTCTCCATTATAGGATTAATCGCCCTATTTTGTTTTAGGTATAAATGTGAAAACAAAAGGGTTTGTGGGACTTACCTCTGGGCTGGAATCCTTGGTGGAAAGCCCAGGGAGTGTGGACCCACTGAAGCTGTGAGGGGATAACTCCGCACTCCCCTGAGACCGGGAAGACCAGCTCAGTTCATGTACGGGATGCGCTTCATCATCTCCTGACTCCTCACTCTTGACCCTCCTCTCGGGCAGGGAGCTGGGGGAGTCCCCGTTTCTCCGAAACTGCTGCAACACTGTCCTCGGAGAGGGGCTCGGAGTCCTTGAAAAATCTCCAAGACTTCCAGACCAGCTGAAACAGCTTCTCAGCGTCCCCAGAGGGGGTGGGGAGATGGTCCTTGTGAATCCGGTGGTCTTAAAGGACCGAGGCTCTTCACCAGCGACCACAGCTCCGCCCTCTGGAGTCTGATCACGTGGGTTGGGTGCTACATTGCTCTCGACACAATCTGATTCATTTAGTTCAACCAGCTTTTCGCTCTCTAGACAATCTGACTCATTTAGATCAACCAGCTTCTTGGTCTCTAGACAATCTGATTGATTCAGATCAACCACTTTATCATCTAGACAGTCTGACTCATTGAGATCAACCAGCTCCTTGCTCTCATGACAATCTGATTCATTGAGATCAACCACTTTATCACCTACACAATCTGATTCATTGAGATCAACCACTTTATCATTTAGACAATCCGATTCATTGAGATTGTTCTCTTTATCTGTGTCAGCAGTTTCATCTGGAAGTTGGGGGCTTGCTTTCTTTGATACACAGTCCATAGAATCCAGAGAATTGCAAAAAAACCTAACAGGAAAAACAACGGATAGAATGCATAAGTATTTTAGATAAGATTTAAAATATGGCCCAGTTTCTTTTTAAAATAAAATCTCATAAATAATTTTATGCACACCTCTGTCACTGCACTTACCACATGGGCTGAGAGATTTTGTTTATGGACCCATTTTTCCAACTATACTAGAAGCTCCTCAAGAATAAAGTCTACGCCTCTCACTTTTGTAACTCAACACCTAGTATCGTATCAAGTTCTCAATTATTAGAGCTCTTTAAAAAATATATATATTTTTTATTGATTTCAGAGAGAGAGGGAGAGGGAGAGATAGAAACATTAATGATGAGAGAGAATCATTGATTGGCTGCCTTCTGCATGGATTGAGCCTGCAATCTTAACATGTGCTCTGACCAGGAATCGAACCGGTGACCTCTTGGTTCCTGGGTTGACGCTCAACCACTGAGCTTACACCCGGCTAAGCTCTTAGAGCTCTTATATTCATCAGTATTTAAATATACTTCTAATAAAACAAACAAACAAACAAACAAACATACTTCTAGTAATACTTGGAAAATGTACTTAGTTTTTAAAGAAACAAAGTAGAGACTACCTCCAAAAACAGTTTTTCTGATACAAAAAGCAGCAGAAGTTCAAGGGAAAGCTGTGCATTCAGGTCTGAACTCAGGCAATAAAAACTGTCATTGTTGCCGAAACTGGTTTGGCTCAGTGGATAGAGCGTCCGCCTGTAGACTGAAGAGTCCCAGGTTTGATTCCCATCAGGGGCATGTACCTTGGTTGCGGGCACATCCCCAGTCGGAGCTGTGCAAGAGGCAGCTGATCGATATTTTTCTCTCCCCAATGTTTCTAACTCTCTATCCCTCTCCCTTCTGTTAAAAAGAAAAAAAATCAATATATTAAAACAAACAAACAAACAAAAAAGCTGTCATTAAGTCAGGTCCTACACCTTCCCCAGCTAGATTTGGTGTTTACCTAACACCGTCGAAGCACACGTCAATGCAGCACAGAACACAACAGACACACAGCATCCCAGAGATGGAGCCATACCTGCTTCTGGTCCCAGGGACCACGACGGCACCACTTTCTTGGTTTTTCTTCTGCAAAAGTGCAGCAAATTTATTCCTTGTCGTAGGCGGCGTGCTTAGGGTTTTGGTGATAGTAGTCCCACCCACCGGGTTAGGGAGCGGCATTTTGGAAAAGTTCGATGACGTAATGCCTTCGCAGCCATCTTCCTTGGTCTTCTTTGCAAACGAAAGAGAATACTGACTCAACAGGTCATCTTCTGACAGCTCCTCTAAATAAAAATGGGGTGCCCGTGAATAAATGTCTGCCCACATGCAGTTAGAGATGCAGTTTAGTTTCACTGTCCATGTCCCTTTGTCCTAAACTATGCACCAGAGAAGAAAATCCAAGGATAACTTAATTTTTTTCTTCTTGGTTGTGTTTTACAATTTCACAAGTTAGAATGCTTTAATGTCGATTATTTGTACAATTTTATGTGAAATTACCCAAACCAAAATTTCAGGACACAATCAATTTTGTAAGGCTATTTATACTGATTATACCATGGGCTTAATTTTGAATGTACAAAATAAATTAAAAAAACAAGACCTGGGAAGCGAAAATTATAAAGCACTGCTGAAGACTTAAATAAATGGATCAGAAAATTCAATATTCAGATGTTAATTCTCCCCAAATTGAGCTATAGATTAAACTAATTCCCAATCAACATCAGAGCAAGATTTTTTTTTTTAATATATTTTTTATTTATTTTTTAACAGAGAGGAAGGGAGAGAGAGGTAGAGAGCTAGAAACGCCGATGAGAGAAAAACATCGACCAGCTGCCTCTTGCACACCCCCTACTGGGGATGTGCCCGCAACCAATGTACATGCCCTTGACAGGAATCGAACCTGGGACCTTTCAGTCCACAGACCAACGCTCTACAACTGAGCCAAACCGGTTTCGGCCAGAGCAAGATTTTTTAAAAACAACAATCTTAGCTGGTTTGGCTCAGTGGATAGAGCATCAGCCTGCAGATTGAAGGGTCCTGGGTTTGATTCCAGTCAAGGGCACATGCCCGGGTTGTGGGCTCGATCCCCAGAAGGGACTTGCAGGACGCAGCCAATCAATGATTCTTTCTCATCATTGATGTTTCCATCTCTCTCTCCTTTTCCCTTCCTCTCTGAAATCAATAAAAAAACACATACAAAAAAAACCCCACCACCCCAACAAAGTTGATTCTAAGATTTAAATGAAAATGTGCACAACACAGAGTTAGCCAAAACAACTTTTCAAAGAAGTAAGGGACTATACCACTTGACTTTGAAATTGACTGTGAAGCTGGGACCAGTTTGGCTCAATGGATAGAGCGTCGGCTTGGGGACTGAAGGGTCCCGGGTTCGATTCCGGTCAAGGGCATGTACCTTGGTTGCGGGCATATCCCCAGTACGGGGTGTGCAAGAGGCAGCTGATCAATGACTCTCTCTCATCGATGTTTCTAACTCTCTATCTCTCCCTTCCTCTCTGTACAAAACCAATAAAAAAATATTAAAAAAAAAAAAAAAAGAAATTGACTGTGAAGTTATAGTGATCAAGACAGTGTGTCTGACATGAAGTTAGGGAGAGAGATCAATGCTTCATAACACTTCAAACACATACACACACACACACACACACACACAGGCCAACTGATGGCCACCAAGTGTGCCCAGGAATTCAATAGGGAAGGATCATCTTTTTAACAAATGGCCCTGGGACGACTGAACTGGCAAAAAACGCAACCACGACCCGTACCTCATATCACATAAGAAAAATCAGTTAAAAATGGATCAGAGGCCTAAATATGAGTTAAAACTATAAAACTTCTAAAAGAAACAGGAGAAAAGCTTAGTGACCTTGGGTTAGCAAAGATGGATTTCTTAAACATGACCAGTGCTGACTAGCATTTCACAGAGACGAAACACACACCACTTCTTGGCCGTTTCACCGCGGACAGCTTCCGGGGCAGGTTCAGGCCCCTGGTGCTGATCACCCGCTCCCTGCCTGCAGTGCTTGGATTCTCCTTCAGTCTCGTAGCGCCCGGAACCGCGTCCCGCTCAAGCCTAGGGCGGTAATTCCTGTGCCAAATGCTATCAACACTAGATGGTTTTTGAGATGTTTTGTCATCCCAACTACGACTTCTTGACAGGGCAGGCTAAAATAGTAAAAGCAAAAAGATTACTTGAAAAACATAGTGAATTATTTCCCTCTGTGTCAACACCAAATTATCAACAAATAGTTATCCAGAAAAAAGAGCTTTTGGATGAATTATCTGTCCTCTAAGGACATTTCCTACACTTTCTGTTACATGTACCTTGTATTCTTAGGTTTGTTTTCTTTTCTAAGTGACCTTATCAGCTCATCCTAAGAAAAAAGTAGCCCCAGCTGGTTTGGCTAAGTCCTTTTGCTTCTTTGGGCTGTCGTGCTGGTTAAGAAGTGTCTTCTGTCTTAGTTCCCAGTCCAATCCAGGCCTTTTTTACCCTTGCTCATTCTCATTAATTAATCAGTCCTTTACTAAGCATTTATTAAGCACATAAAATATGGTTAGGCTAGCTAATGGTCTGGAGTACAAAGAAAACAAAATATAATCCTTCCTTGTAAGGACTTGGCAATGAAAGCTCATAAAACCCTGCCTTTATGAAGGTTACATTATTTTGGGGAGAATCAGAAAATAAACCAGAGATAAATTACATACAGTAAGTACTAAAAAGAAAAAAGAGAGAGAGAGAGAGAAATGTTACTAGGGAAAGCTGGTGAAGAGTTTGTGTTTGGCTGTGGATAGATTTCAGATTACCGGAACTCATTTAAGTAGAGATTGTGTGGCTGGCACACAGACTGGAGATTGGGGTAGAATAAAGATGAATGAAGAGAACAGAGTCTGAGTGAAAACATGAACAGAGAAGAGAGAATGGCGGGAGAGTGGACCAAGAGACAGAATTGGGAAAAAGTAGTAGAAAACAGGGAAGGGCTACAGAACAGAGCGAAGGTGTTTATTAAACGTTTGCTAAATTGTGCATCAGTGGAAACCAAGTTGTACTTGCAAGGGTAGCGTTTCTAGATTTGGGTCTTCAACAACATGACAGGGTGAACAGGGTGAGAGGAGGAGAAAGGCACTGAATGCTTGGTATATTCAAATGGCAAGTTCAAGTCTAAAGGTCTTTAATGTAAGGAAGTTACCCGCTGTACCTATGTTCTAAGAGACACCATTTCTTTAGCTGTTTCTGATCTGTACTCCGCACAGTGCCTGGATAGAAAAACGCTTAAAATATGTTCAGTACACGAAGCTTCTGAGACATAACTGAATGTGCGTTTAGAAAGAAGCCATTAAGAGACTTACTGTGGCAGCGTCTGGACTGTAGTCATCAATCTGTTCAAAAGTATTTATATCTTTATTTCCAAGTGCTATCTGAAGAGCTATGGAGTCATCAATATACCTAGGTTGGTAAGATTAAGGACAAATTTTATTAACAATGGAACAAAACCCACGGTATTAAGAAGAAAAGTGGGCCCAGCCAGTGTGGCCCAGTGGTTGGGCACATCGACCTGTGAACTAGGAGGTCAGGGCACAGGCCCGGGTTGAGGGGCTGAGTCCCAGTGGTGGGTGTGCAGGAGGCAGCCAATCAATGATTCCCTCTCATCATTGATATTTCTCTCTCTCTCTCTCCCTTCCTCTTTGAAATCAATAAAAATATAAATTAAAAAAAAGAAAAGTGTATTCCATTGTTACAGAAAAATATAAATTAAAAAAAAGAAAGAAAAGTGTATTCCACTGTCACAGGAAATCCTCAGTTTTATAACGTCAATGGATGCTCCTTCCTTCCATCCACACTCGGCATTACCGAAACCACAAGCACATTTACTCATCTGCTTGTCACTGCAGGAGCTGGCTGTCTCCTGAAGCAAAGCCAAGGCATTGCCTACTCCCTCAAGAAGATGGAGAGGGGCCTGGCCGCCTGCTGAGTGGCCCAGGCTGGGCACTGCCCGCCCGAGTGAGTGGCAGTGGCTGTGGGAAGGGCTCTCTCATCGGGAGTCCTCGCCCATAACGCCGCTCCTAACACGCCCAGCTTGCTTGCCACAAGCATTTCTCTTAAGTGTCCCCTTTGTTGTTGTTTTTTAAAAATCTATTCGGCTTTATTGGAGGATTCACAGATCAGCCAGCATTCCTAATGCTGTAGAAAGAAGTTTTAAGCCCAAACCGGTGTGGCTCAGTGGATAGAGCGTCGGCCTGCGGACTGAAGGGTCCCAGGTTCGATTCCGGTCAAGGGCATGTACCTTGGTTGCGGGCACATCCCCAGTAGGGGGTGTGCAGGAGGCAGCTGATGGATGTTTCTCTCTCATCGATGTTTCTAACTATTTCTCTTTCTTCCTCTCTGTAAAAAAATCAATAAAATATATTAAAAAAAAAATAAGTTTTAAGTGTCACCTCTGGAATATGTCCCTATTAAGTCCCACTAAGTAATTAACAAGCTACAGCAAACGAGCCTCAGATTTATAAACAAGAAGTTGCTTTAAATTTTCACCAGCATGCTAATCAAAATGAACAAAACACAGATTTCATTACAGAAAAGAAAGCAAGAAGGAGTTTGCAAGCTTTTTACTGGCTGCCTCGCTAGGAATGCCACCACGGACACAGAGAGGGACGGAAGCCCCACCACGTGGTTCAGAGAGGATACCGCCCAGCGTAGCTCAGGGCCGCGGGGTCAACGTCGTCTCCGTAGTCATTCAGAGGGACCAGCTTCCTTCGGACGGGATCAAACACGAGCTGGTACAGGAAGGTGTTGTTGGCCCGAATGAAGCCTTTGATGTAGTCTTCTGGCACTGTGATATTCATCTTGAGGTAATGCCCAATTTTCTTAATAACCTAGCAATGGATGCAAAGATATTTACGCGTTATCTGCAAGTAAAGAATACAGAACGCATAAACCCCAAGACCCATCTGCTTACACGAGAGGAGGATGAGGAGAAACAGGAAAACCAATAGTTTTTATCTGCATTAAAAACCTCTACCAGCAGCCAGGACCGGTTTGGTTCAATGGATAGAGCGTCGGGTTGGGGACTGAAAGGTCCCGGGTTCGATTCCAGTCAAGGGTATGTGCCTTGGTTGTGGGCATATCCCTGGTAGGAGGTGTGCAGGAGGCAGCTGATGGATGACTCTCTCTCATCGATGTTTCTAGCTCTTTATCTCTCTCCCTTCCTCTCTGTATAAAATCAATAATATATATATATATATATATATATATATATATATATATATATATTTTTTTTTTTTTTTTTTTTTTTTTTTAAACCTCTACCAGCAAACACAACCATGTGACGATCACTTAAAATGCTGAGTTTCTATAACAGTATTTTCTTTGCATTTCCTATTATTAATCCAAATAATAAGAAATTCACCCTAACCCATTTGGCTCAGTGGATAGAGTGTCGGTCTGCAGACTCAAGGGTCACGGGTTTGATTCCGGTCAAGGGCATGTACCTTGGTTGCAGGCACACCCCCAGTGGGGAGTGTGCAGGAGGCAGCTGATCGATGTTTCTAACTTTCTATCCCTCTCCCTTCCTCTCTGTTAAAAAAAAAAAAAAAAAAATCAGTAAAATATTTAAAAAGTTTCAGTTACACATCAAGTTTACATTCCTAAGTACATATTCTTCACAAAGTCCCTTTTATTCAGAAGGCAAAAACTCAAAACATATATAACTCAAGAATTAAAAACCCCCAAGTATTAGAGAAATTAGCATCCTAACTCCTACGAACAGTCATGGATGATTAAAGCTTGAAGTGTTTTTAAACATTTTCTATGAGATCACAGAGAGAGAAGGGAAGACCCGGAGAACTGAAGGGATCCTGTAGTGACATGAGGATCGGGGCCTAACCCTCCCTTCCCAGTTCTCCCACCGTCTCCCCCCCCAACACACTGATGCTGCACCAGCCCGAGCCCTGAGGATGCACACTGCCCCCTGGAGACAAAAGGGAAGCTCTGCTCTGCAATCCTAGGGCTTTGGAGAACTACCCAGCAGGGAGAAACGAGCTCTTTAATGGAAGGAGCCCTGGCTGGTGTAGCTCAGTGGATAGAGTGTCAGCCTGCAGACGGAAGGGTCCCAGGTTCGATTCCAGCCAATGGCACATGCCCAGGTTGTGGGCTCGATCCCCAGTAGGGGGCGTGCAGGAGGCAGCCGATCAATGATTCTCTCTCATCATTGATGTTTCTGTCTCTTTATCCCTCTCCCTCCTTTCCTCTCAAAAAATAAAATAAAATAAAATAAATATATATATATATACACATATACATATATATATACATATACATACATATATATCTGTGTGTGTGTGTGTGTGTGTGTGTGTGTGTGTATATATATATATATATATATATAGAGAGAGAGAGAGAGAGAGAGAGAGAATATAAAGGGATCCTGAGACCAAAAGACTGAGAACCACTACTATTGAGTAACAGGACAGATAAAAAGATGGTACGTCTTAACATTGTTGCTACTCTATAATACTTCAAATAGCCCTTAAGACTCTTTATATTACTCCTCATTTAAAAAAAACCACTACTAGTTTGTCAACTGCTGAAAATATGGTTCATTATAGTTGCAAAAGCAAATTTCTAGTGTGGTAGTCATTTTATTTCAGTGACACAGTACTGGCAGTGACATATTATTACTGGCTATAATATTTCAAATCCACATTCATAGTGTTTTATCTATCATTTAGGAAAGGCTTCAAAAGTCGAATATGACACCTGGTAAGTCAGTCTTACCTTCACAATATCGGGGTTATTGGCTAGCCTCAGCACTTTGCAGGCCTTTGCTAATCCGATCCCGCGCAGCGAGGAGAGGTAGTCACAGCCGGAGAGAATGCACATGTACCGAAACTTCTCCTCCGTGAACACATCCCCGAGCTGTCGGCACATGCCCAGCCGAGCCTGGTCAATTTCTAGCCCGTTTCCGAACTGGTCCATTTTTAAAATCACCTGCAAGGGGAAAGGAAATTGTTAATACCTAGAAGGGCCATTTTTATTTTTTATTCTACAATTCACCGCAAAATTTCTAAGAAATGTGTTTTTATTCTTCATCGTAGCAACGAGAGCTGAGCTAGGTCGGCCAGTTAACTACTGTCACGTCTGTAAACAAATCAAGGTGAAGTACGGGCTACTCTGACACAAGGAACACCCTTTCTTTTTTTTTAACTTTTAAAAAAATATTTTATTTTTTTTTTTTACAGAGAGGAAGAGAGAGGGACAGAGAGTTAGAAACATCGATGAGAGAGATCATCGATCAGCTGCCTCTTGCACACCCCCTACTGAGAATGTGCCTGCACCAAGGCACATGCCCTTGACCGGAATCGAACCTGAGACCCTTCAGTCCGCAGACCGACGCTCTATCCACTGAGCCAAACCGGTTTCGGCAGGAATACCGTTTCTACACCTTTACTTCCTACTGACATTACAGGTTGTCATGGTGACCAAATAGCAATTCAAATAGAAAGCACTTCCCCTTTACCTGCCACTGTTACTTTTTAAAAAGTAAACCGTTTTCTTATTTTTAAAGTAATACATGTTCGCCGAAACCGGTTTGGCTCAGTAGATAGAGCGTCGGTCTGCGGACCGAAAGGTCCCGGGTTCGATTCCGATCAAGGGCATGCACCTTGGTTGCGGGCACATCCCCAGCTGATCGGTGATTCTCTCTCATTGATGCTTCTAACTCTCTCTCCCTCTCTCTTCCTCTGTGTAAAAATTCAATAAAATATATTTTTAAAAAAATAAAAATAAAGTAATACATGTTCATTATAGAAAAGATTGGAAACAGAAATCCAGGAGGAATGAAATAGAAGTTGCTCTAAATCTCTCATCTATCGCTGTTACCCAGCATTATCCTTTTGACATAGGTCCTTCCAGTCATCTATGTCTAGATGATATGAATAACAAAAATGAGATCATCCTATATTTCTGCATCTTAACTTTTCCTAAACATATCATAAAAATTTCCATTTAAGAGTTGATACCCAATCCCATTATAAAAAACTGTATTTAGGAAAAAAAGATGGTGGCTGGTAGGACAGAGGAGAGAGAGGACGTGAGTGGTGAGGGTGTGAAAGGAGTGTGTGGCTGTGCGGGGGCGTGTGTGTGAGGGGAGGAGGGAAGGTTAGATCTCCCAGGAGCAGCAGGGGCTGGCAGACAGCTCTCCTTGACAAGGAGAGGCACTCCCCGGACGGCAGGACTCCATGCCATCTTGAAGGAGAGAACGGCCTTTTTCAGGAACTCATCACCACCACCAACCAGACAGGCCTTGGAACTGCCCCGCGACCCACCAGCCACTCCAGCCATAATCCTGCCCCCCTGGCTGCAGACCCTCGGACCCGGGACCTCCACCTCCAGAGGTACACGCCCGGCAGCAGTGAGTGCAACCTCCCTGCCCCGGCGGGAGGACTCCGGATTCACGTGTACCCAGCCCCGCAGGCAGCCAGGGCACCCACTCCTTAGGCAGCGCCTGGGAGCCTCTGAGAGCCCCCGAGGGTGTGACTCTGCACAGACCATTTCCCAGGAGAAACTCTGAGTTCCCTCTTCCTAGATAACTACCCACATTCACCCCTGCGGCTCAGCTGCGGTGCCAGGACCCCTCAGAGTGCAAGCGCACCTCCACCGAGGCGAAGTCCATCAGGCAGGCACCCCGAGCCCATCTGCCCACGGGGCGTGCCACTGTGAGCTCTCCCACTGTGAGATCTTGAACAAGCGGGGGCACACTCCCCCTCCCCAGCAATAGAAATTTTGAATTGACTCATCCTGGATCCCAGTCCACAGGCGCCTCAATTGCGCGGCTACACTGCCAGGGCCCTGCAGTGTGCCTCGCTGGCAAACGTACCGAGGGTGCTCCTGTGAGCAGCCGCTGGGAGTAAGATCCATCACAGGTGCAACGGCAGAAGCTGGGTCTGCCCGCCCCCCGACCGCAGAACTCTGGGCACCACAGTCATGCCGTTCCAGAGAGCAGGCTCCCTGAGTCCCGTCAGACGGATCCTGGGTGCCACTGTGACTCTCTGCTGGGCATGTGTGATTTCAAGTAAGGGTGCAAGCAAAAAATTGGGACACTCCCCTCCTCGGCGGCTGACTTCTAGACACGGCTGTTGTGCCTCTCAAGCTCGCAGGCCTACATCAGGAGAATCCAAATAGCTCGGGTAGGGATCTGCACTAGATTAACAAGCCCAGGAGAACTGAGAGATCACACCAGTAACACCATCCCCAAAAGAACCTGGGTAGCAAAGCAATTGGGTCTCCAATTAAAACATTACAAGAAAACATGGAAAGACAAAAAAGCAATTACCAAAGGAAAGAAAAAGAGGAACACCAGAAAGGGAGTTAAGTGAATTTGAGGCTAGCAGCTTACCAGGGATCTCCTATTAGAATATCAACTGATTGCTCAACAGAAACACACCAGGCCAGAAGGGAATGTAATGAAATATACAAAGTGATGCAAAGCAAGGGACTGAATCCGAGAATATTATACCCAGCAAGGCTACGATTAAAAATTGAAGGTGGAATCAGGAGCTTCACAGACAAAAGAGGCCTAAGAGAGTTTATCCCTACCAAGCCAGCAATGTAAGAAATGCTAAAGGGACTGCTATAAAAAGAAGAAAGAGAAAGGCAAGAAGAAACACAAACACTAAGGAAAAATTTAAACAAACATGTACTTGTCAATAATAACATTAAACATAAATGGATTAAATGCACCAATCAAAAGACGTAGGGTAGCTGAATGAATAAGAAAACATGATCCACATATTTGCTGTAAACAAGATTCCCACCTCAGAGCAAAGGATTCACACAGACTGACAGCAAAGGAATGGAAAAACATTTTTTAGGCAAATGGAAATAAGAAAAAAGCTGAGGTTGCGATACTTATGTCTGATAAAATAGACCTCAAAGGCCATAATAAGAGATAAGGAAGGCCACTACATAATAGTAAAGGGAGCAATTCAACAAGAAGTTGTAACTCTGGTAAACATAGATGCACCCAATGCAGGATCACCCAAATACATAAAAAAATCTGGAGCTGAAACCGGTTTATCTCAGTGGATAGAGCATCAGCTTGCGGACTGAAGGGTCCCAGGTTTGATTCCGGTCAAGGGCACGTACCTTGGTTGTGGGCACATCCCCCAAAATCAATAAAATATATATTTTAAAAATCTCCTGGAAGATATCAAAGGAGAGATCGACAACAATAATATCGATCATAGTAGGAGACTTTAATACACCACTGACATCAATGGATAAATCCTCTAGAGTCTAGACCAGTGTCTCCCAAACTTCTCTCATGATGAGAATCACCTGGTGGAGTTGACTTGGAAACCTTTTTCATTTTTTGCCCTAATCATTTTCCTTTGGCTTGTTTTAACACCATGTGGTTTTTCATGGATGGTCTTGCTGTTAACATTACAAATGAAAGTTAATTTTCTCAAGTAAAAAATTTTCTAGATCTAATTTACTTACGGGATATTTTTCTTTACATGATATTCTTCTACTATTCCCCCCTTTTACATAGGTAAAATTGTATGTTCCCAAAAATTCTAGTTTAGCACTTCTTCGTTGGGATTCAGGAATCTGTATTTTAACAACTCCACCAGGTGATTCTCGTCATGAAATAAGTTTGGGAAACACTGGTGTAGACAAAAAAAAAAAACCAGCAAAGAAACAGCAATTCTAAATGACACGCTAAATCAGATGTCATTTACGTTCTTCTCAGGTGCACATGAGACATTTTCAAAAATAGACCACATATTAGGTCAAAAGCAAAGTCTCCCCAAACTCAAGAACATTGAAAACCTATCAAGCATTTTCTCAGGCCACAATGGCATAATATTAGAAATAAACCACAATAAAAACATTCCAAAAAATATGCAAATTAACTGTAATTCCTTGCTTTAGACCACTGTTTTGACGTATGTGTACCCCTTCTATAAGTTTCGTAACGCTGAGTACCCCTCGTCCTCATGAGGACGTAGAATTAGGCGCAGCTAAGCACGGTGCGGTGCATATCCCCACCAAACTCCGGTGCAACGCGTACCCCCACCAGACTTTCCCCGTACCCCTGGGGGTGCGCATACCGCACTTTGGGAAACACTGCAGTGCGTTTAGACTATTTTCGTACCTTTTTACAGCCGAAAGCCAGGAGATCCGAGTCCTCCGTGACGATGGCCTGCACAATGCCGGCTTTGTTCAGATAGGCCAGCTGCGCGTCTGCTTCGTACGGCGCCACAAGGCAGTCCACTCCCTGGGCCCGAGCCGCCTGGGGGAGAGGAGCAGTTAACGTGACAACAATGCCTGGAAAGAACTAAACAACTTCCCGTTTCAAATCCATTCATCGCCAGCTTCAACGTGCACGTGCTAGGAATATTTTCAAAAACCCTATTCTTGCCCTAGCCAGTTTAGCTCAGTGGATAGAGCGTCAGCTTGCAAACTGAAGGGTCCCAGATTTAATTCTGGTCAAGCGCATGTGCCCGGGTTTCGGGCTCAACCCCCAGCAGGGGGCGTGCAGGAGGCAGCAGATCCACGATTCTCTCTCATCATTGATGTTTCCCTCTCCCTCTTTCTTCCACTCTGAAATCAATAAAAATATTTCTTTAAAAAGAATGACTATGGCCCTGACCTGTTTGGCTCAGTGGATAGAGCATTGGCCTGCGGACTGAAGGGTCCCGGGTTTGATTCTGGTCAAGGGCATGTACCTTGGTTGCGGGCACATCCCCAGTGGGGGGAGGGGGGGTGTGTGCAGGAGGCAGCTGATGGATGTTTCTCTCTCATCAATGTTTCTAACTCTCTAACCCTCTCAATTCCTCTCGGATTACCTCGTGTTTGGCTTACTTTAATGACTTTGTGGGCCATGGCGTGCGTGATGTTGACGCAGCGGGTGAAACAGTCTCTGGCCTCCGAGACCTTCCCCTCGCGAAGAAGCTGCTTTCCCTTAAGGAGGTTGGCCTGTCGTCGTCTGCGAGGAACAAGAAAATTCAGAGCTGATCAAGAAACTGTGATAAAAGTATAACGCAAGAAATTTCACTCGAATCAAAAAAAAAAAAAAAAAAAGTTCGGCTCATTTGAAAGCGCACACCTGGCCCTTGAGAATATTCACCCACAGGCCCTGGGCTTCTAAGCAAAAGCACAAGTGCTTTCTCTGCACACTCACAGGGCAGCTCAGCGGGCTCTGCCACAGCAAAGCTGTCAGAAGAAAAGGAACTAAGACGCTTAGGAAAATGGGAGTCAAAGCCTTTACACCATCGAAACCTCCCAAATATAAAGGATGGAACTTTATATCAACATACAAGGAACTTGAAGGAATGCTGTTTCAGTGAGCTCTGCTGTGAAATGATTACAGAACAAATTTCAGAAAAAAATAAAATAACATGGCTGAAACCGGTTTGGCTCAGTGGTAGAGCGTCGGCCTGCGGACTGAAAGGTCCCGGGTTCGATTCCGGTCAAGGGCATGTACGTTGGTTGCAGGCACATCCCAGGTGGGGGGTGTGCAGGAGGCAGCTGACTGATGATTCTCTCTCATCGACGTTTCTAGCTCTCTATCTCTCTGTAAAAAGTCAATAAAATATATTAAAAAAAAAAATAACATGGAGACACTGACATAAAGACTAGTGATAATCACATAGTAAATTGTAGAATCACAACTAAGGAAGGATTTGCCCTAACCGGTTTGGTTCAGTGGATAAGGGTCCCAGGTTCGATTCCAGTCAAGGGCATGTACCAGCAGGGGATGTGCAGGAGGCAGCTGATCCATGTTTCTCTATCAATGTTTCTAACGCTCTATCCCTCTCTGTAAAAGCATCTATCTATCTATCTATCTATCTATCTATAAACACATAAAAAACAACAACTAAGGAAGGATCAAACAAAGAGAGCCACAGCTACATGCTCTGACAAAGGAGCAGCACTGCACAGAAGAGAGTATCTGGGAAAGAAAAATAAACTTCCACCTGTTTTCAGTAATCACATTGGCAGTGGAAGAAGTGTGAGTACTGTTGAGTAGAACGTGGGAGAAAATAAATGATCACAGTTGTCCCCAGTTATCCCCTGTTTTGCTTTCTGTAGTTTGTCATTCAGAGCCAAGTGAAGACCGAAAAGATTAAATGGAAAATTCCGGAAATAAACAAAATTGCTAAGTTTTAAATTGGGTGCCTTTCTCAGCAGCAGCAGGGTGAAATCTTGTGCAATCTGGCTCTCTCCGGCCTGGGATGTTAATCATCCCTTTGCCCAGTGTATTCACTTTATCTCATCCCATAGGTGTCCTATCGTCATCAGTCTAGAGCACTAGTTAAATATACAATTTTACCTCTATGTTCCCAAAAATTCTAGTTTAGCACTTCTTAGTTGGGATTCAGGAATCTGTAGTTTAACAACTCCACCAGGTGATTCTCATCATGAGAGAAGCTTGGGAAACACTGATCTACATCATCACAAGAAGGGTGGGCCTGGCCAGTGTGGCTCAGCAGACAGAGCATTGGCCTGTGGCCTGAGGGGTTCTGGGTTCGATTCCCAGACAGGGCACATGCCCTGGGTTGCTGGCTTAGTCCCCAGGGGGGACCTGCAGGAGGCAGCTGATCCACGATTTTCTCTCTCAACAATGATGTTCCCAATTCCCCCTCCCCCACTTCTGAAATCAATAAAAAAAAAAGAATAAGGGTGAGTAGAATATAAGATATTTTGAGGGAGTAGAGACAGATCACATTTACATAACTTTATTATAGGTTATTATGCTTGTTGTATTTTATTAACAGTTATTGTTGTTAATCACTTCCTGCGCCTAACTTAGAAATTAAACCTTGTCACATGTCTGTATGTATAGGATAACACAGTATGTATAACAGGGCTTGATATAACAAATAGGGTTTCATGCATCCACTGGGGGCCTTGGCATGTGTAGCCACTGAATAAGAGGGGACAACTGTAATTATCTGATGCTCTAACTTTATCATCCCCTGTGCCCTTAAAACAAGGATTATCCATCTGGAAGGAAGGAGATACTGATGAAGTAGAGAAGTAAAAACCTGTGCCCTGAATTTGAATTGGAAGTACCAGTCTGAACTAATGAGGTTTTTCATCAAGTAAATGCACACATACATGCTCAGGATTGTGGGCTTGATCCCCAGTAGTGGGTGTGCAGGAGGCAGCCTATTGATGCTTTGCTCTCAATGTTTCTCTCTCTCTCTCTCAAAATTAGTAAAAAAAAATTTTTTTAAATGGATAAATAGAAGGAGGCTTGACTTAGGGTGGTGAATACACAACACAACATACAGATGATGTATTATAGAACTGTACCCCTGAAACCCAAATAATTGTATTAACCAATGCCACCCCAATAAATTCAATTAAAAAAAATGGACACAACTAATAATTAAGAAACTATCACGGTGAAATTTCAACATCCTTTTCTCAGTAACTGATGGATTAATTAAGAAGACACACATAAAAAACAAAAGAACCAGTAAAGATTTTAAAGACTTGAATCCTACAATCAATAAGCCTGATTTACTGGACAGTAAAGCCTTCCACACATTAACTAGAGAATGCACCTTCCTTTCTAGCACACAGAAACCTTAAGGACATTTGTTCATGTACTGGGCTATAAAAGAGCCTCAATAAATTACGTATTTAACCAAAAACTAGTATTGGGTCCAGGGGGTGGATGATGTTGCCTCGGGGCATAGCTGGGGCGGCCTCGCTGCCCTGTCTCCATGGAAACCGAGTCTAGAGGTGAAGTGACCTCCCCGCGGTCACCTGGGAGTGAGGAAGCCAAGACTGGGGTGCCTCTTCCCATCGCCCCAGGGCGAGATTCCCAGGGAGCTGGGGGGCCCAGGCCTTCCCGCTCCCTGGAGACTCACAGGCTAACCTGCGTTCTTAGGGGCCAGGCTGACACCCCCTGGGACTGGCCGGGCACCTGGAGGCAGCAGCACAGGTACCACCTGGATCTCATCTGGAAAGGCGGAAGAGGGTTCTGGAAGGGCCACGGTGGGGGAGGGGGCTCCCACGAGGCACCAGGCAACCTAAGTCCGCCCTGCGCGGCCGGGGCACCTCCAAGGCCCCTTACCAGCGCCCCCCATCTGAGCTGCAGCCCCCAGTGGGCTCTGCAGGAGCTCCTGGCGGACCAGAACCCCGAGGCCTTCCCGGGATGGAGACCCAGCTCCCCACGAGGAGCAGAGGCTGAGCGGGCCCGGCCGACGCGCTCACCCCTGGGGGAGCCCCATCCCCTGCCCGGGCAGCACAGGCCGCCACTCCCCGGGGCCCTGCGTGGGGCTTGCGTCAGGTGGGAATCGGAAGGGCTATTTATTGTCAGCACCTGAAAACAAATAAGCTCTGTGCTGCTGAGAAAAAAACACACACACAGAAAACCAAACTACCATTAGCCCAGCCAAAGTGGCTCAGGGGTTGAGTTGATCTATGAACCAGGAGGTCAGTCTGATTCCCAATCAAGGAACATGCCCAGTGTGGGGCATGCAGGAGGCAGTTGATGGATGATTCTCTCTCATCGATGTTTCTCTCTCTCTCTCTCCTTTCCTCCCTCTCTGAAATCAATTAAAAATATATTTTAAAAAAACCAAACAACTAGTATTCATTCTACAAACCACAGCATCAGACCTCAATGCAATCAAGTCAGAGATGAAACAGAGGCTCCACTTACTCTCGTCTGGACTTCTCCACTTCCTTTTTAGAAGGCAGAGTACATCCATCAAACACAAGAACAGGCTTGATCCCGTGAGACAGCAACATATTTACAAATTTCATGCAAAATCCTACATACCTACGAAAATAAAAGGCACGTCAGTGTTTTGCATCTTGTAATACTTTTTAAAACCTGATAAAATGAATTACAAAAGAGGTTTGCATTTCTTTAAAGAAAATGCTTTCATAGGAAATGAACATTACTTTACATTTCCCATCATTTCATTAAAATAAGGGGATCTCTTAACTCCAAATATAAATAAAGGTATAATCTTAAAAAGCAATCATTTAGATAAAATATATTCATCTGAATGCAAGGCTCACTACGTTGTCCTTTTTCTTCTTAACTGGAAACTACTGACTATGAACCTTCGAATCTTTGTTGGTAAGATATTCTTCAAGTCCATTTGCAACTGCTTACATGTAACGGTGAGAAAGAAACTGCTTTAAAACATGATCAAAGCCAAAACCGATTTGGCTCAGTGGATAGAGCGTCAGCCTGTGGACTGAAAGGTCCCGGGTTCAATTCCAGTCAAGGGCATGTACCTTGGTTTCGGGCACATCCCCGGTGGGGGGTGTGCAAGAGGCAGCTGATCGATGATTTTCATCAATGTTTCTAACTCTCTATTCCTCTCTCTTTCTCTCTGTAAAACATAAATAAAAATATATTTAAAAACAAAACAAAAACCATGATCACAGCGTGGGAGTGGCAGATGTGCCAGGCTCCTTCAGCTCCCACACAAACTGTCACAAGCTGCTTGTCTGGGGTCCTAAAAGCCCCAAACATTCACCAGGCAATAATGACTTCCCCCCTTCCTTCCAAGAAACCAACAGGATTCACACATTTCACCTGTTGTCTGTTGTGCTCAAGTACTAGTAAGATCTGTGAGCCTTTCCTCTAGGAGAGAATTTATATATTGCAAAAAAGGAAACAAATAACGAGTGCCCAACTCCCTGCGGAAAACCTGTCCAGCAATTGTGCTTATTTTTCTTCTTTTTTTTTAAAGTATATTTTATTGATTTTTCACAGAGAGGAAGGGAGAGCGACAGATAGCCAGAAACATCGATGAGAGAGAATCATCGACCAGCTGTCTCCTGCACACCCACTACTGGAGATGTGCCCGCAACCAATGTACATGCCCTTGACCGGAATCGAACCTGGGACCTTTCAGACCGCAGACCGACGCTCTATCCACTGAGCCAAACTGGTTTCAGCTGTGCTTATTTTTCTAATGGGTCTGTTTAAAAAATAAAGAGGACAGACAGAGTCCTGCCTCCAATGAGGTCTCAGAGTTTATAACGACATCAACCTGGCCACCAGTTCTGGGATTTTCAGGACACTGTTTATCTCAGACAGAAGGTAAGAGGAGACGATTTTGGGGGTTTGCCCATCAGTGTGCTGATGATCTGGCTTAATCCAAATAAAAAAAACAAAGTCTCCGTCACAGAAGGAAGTCATTCCCGACTTGGCAATGTTCTAAGACACACTTCTGGCCGAAACCGGTTTAGCTCAGTGGATAGAGCATCGGCCTGCGGACTGAAAGGTCCCAAGTTCGATTCCGGTCAAGGGCATGTACATTGGTTACGGGCACATCCCCGGTGGGGGGTGTGCAGGAGACAGCTGGTCGATGTTTCTCTTTCATCGATGTTTCTAGCTCTCTATCCCTCTCCCTTCCTCTCTGTGAAAAATCAATAAAATATATTATAAATAAAAACAAAACACACTTCTGGATAAACCTGGTGCTGCATGAAAAATAAGGCATTTTCTTTCTTTTCTTTTTTTTAAAGAAAATGTTTTCATAGGAAATGAACATTAATTGACATCTCCCATCATTTCATTAAAAAGGGGGGATCTTTTAACTCAAAATGGAAAATAATAAGGCATTATACGTCTCACTGTTGAGTTGGCAACGAGCTAACGTGAGGTCCAGACTTACTTATCGGTCGGCTCCCCTTTGGCTAGCTTTTCAGCACAGGCAATGGCGCCTTTGTGAAGCCAACAGTACGTATCCACGGCCACCGCCTGCCCCTTGTACTTCCTCACATGGACCGGCTCGGAGGCGTCTTTGATAAACTGCAGCAATCCTTGAATCCCCATCCTGCCAGGCTACCTGCGTGATACGAAGGGAGAAGGGAATGCAGCAATATTTAAAAGCAAATATACGTTTACCCGAAAGTTCTAGGAGAAAAAAAAAAAAAAAAAAAAAAGAATCTAGAAGCTAATAAGGACCCGTTGCTATTCAGATATTTGAGAATCATTGTTTTGCAAGTATTTTAACAAGGTTCCTCCCTGTCAAACAATTTTCTTCCATAGTCTAGAATTTTTTTCTAAAAAAAAAAAAAAAAAAAGGAAATATATATATATAAAAATACACACACACACACACACACACATATATATATATATACACACACACACATTATTGATTTCTTACAGAGAGGAGAGAGGGACTGAGAGCTAGAAACATCGATGAGAGAGAATCATTGACCAACTGCCTCCTGCACACCCCCCACTGGAAATGTGCCCGTAACCAAGGTCCATGCCCTTGACCGGAATCAACCTGGGACCCTTCAGTCCGCAGGCCGACGCTCTATCCACTGAGCCAAACTGGTTTCGGCCATAGTCTAGAATTTTCTTTCCGAAGTGCTTTCCCACTTGGAATCATAATGTGTGCTCCATGGAGACACATGGAGGTGTTATGTTCAAGAGGTAGGAGTCTCTCTTCTCTAAAAATGCACTGCTGCCCGGCCGGCATGGCTCAGCGGTTGAGCGTGGACCTAGGAACCAGGTGGTCACGGTTCGATTCCCGATTAGGGCTCATGCCTGGGTTGCACGCTCCATCCTTAGTGGGGAAAGGGTGGAGGGAGAGGGTGTGCAGGAGGCAGCCAATCAATGACTCTTTCTCATCATTGATGCTTCGCGCTCTCTCCCCCCCTCTCCAAAATCAATAAAAATATATTTTAAAAAAACAACAACAATAAGAGTAGTGGAGGCAGCCACAGCGCCAGGATCTGCCCTTGACCTTTGGATTAGAGTTAAGTGTCCACCTCCATCTGCCCATTTGGCGAGGAGCAGCTGAAGCAGCTGATTCATGATTCTCTCTCATCATTGATGTTCCCCTCTCTCCTCTCCCTTCCTCTGAAATCAATACAAACATTTAAAGAAAAAAAAAAAAAAAAGGCATGGCTAAAACCTGTAACGTTGTTCTTGCTCCGGCATCACACTCCCTCTCTGCAGGCATTATACCTTAAGTGGCAACGTGCAAATGAGCGGAAGAGCGGAAACTCAAAACGGCTTGTAGGAAGGTAGGTATTTCAACTAAAAAGTGTAATAAATGCGTCAGGACAAGCGCTTTAACTTCCCACCCTCCCACCCAGGTTGCAACCTGAGTGGAAACCATACAGAAACTGCGGAACCGCCCGGTTCCTTCTAGAAGCAGCCGCCCTCCCGGCTCCCTAGGATGATTGGAGGCAGCTATGGGCACGGAGCAGGTGCTTGGAGTTCCATCACGTGGATCTCTTCCAGCAAACGCTGCGTTTGGGAGGGAGGGAGGGCAGCAGGCACAGGATCCGAAGGCAGCCTCACCCTGCAGACCCTGTACGGAAGCTCTGATGCGGCTGGTCCAGCCAGTCCCCAAATTCCAGCCGCTCGCAGATGCTCAGTTGCAATCAGGGCGGATCATGTGGGTGCTGGTGGTGCTCAAGCCCCAGGTCCAGAATCACCAGGAATCTTTCTCTTCCTCACCAAGAGCTTCCTCCTTGCACCGTAGAAATTTTGTGAACCGTGGTTTCTTCCAAACTAAGTCAATACCCTCCTCGAATGCATGTTTCCTCCGCAGCCTGGGGTGGGGAGGGCCTGCGAGCCATAGGCCACCAGTCAGCTCACGGAGACCCCCCACCCTGGGGCGCCCGGGGTACCAGCAGCACCAGCGCCTCTTGGCTCCTAGGTCGCCCAGAGGTGCCCGGGTGAGGCCCGCATGCCCATTCCAGAAGACAGGATTTGCTTGGCCTGCGAAAAGGAAAAATGTACTCGTCAACATTTAACCAATGGACACAGACACCTGGGGGGGGGGGGGGGAGAGTGAGGGCAAAATTGGGGGAGTGCAGGGGATAGGGGGGAAGGGGGGGCAATGGAGGAATAAGGACACATGTAGCCGAAACCAGTTTGGCTCAGTGGATAGAGCCTCGGCCTGCAGACCGTAGGGTCCCAGGTTCGATTGCGGTCAAGGGCATGTACCTTGGTTGCGGGCACATCCCCAGTAGGGGGTGTGGAGGAGGCAGCTGGTCGATGTTTCTAGCTCTCTCCCTTCCTCTCTGTGAAAATTCAATAAAACATATTTTCTTTTTTACAAAAGGACACATGTAATTCAAGGTGAGCCGATCGTCCCGCTTTTGGCGGGACAGTCCCGCTTTTGAACAATTTCGCGTCTCGCGGGACAAAAGTGTTGAAAATCGGGACTGTCCCGCCCAAAGCATTAATGTAATGCCTTATCAATAAAGGGAAAAAATTAAGTTGGGAGCCTGCGGGCTTTTGCAGAAAGACTGGGGGGTTGGGGTGCGACCCCCGGTGCCGGGCCCGGCAGCAGGGAACGGCCTGCAGGCCACGGGGACGGTCCGTTCGGTGCGCGAACCGCAGCCCCCGCCCAGCCAAGCACGTCCCCCCGGGACTCAGCACCCTCCCGGGCCACGAACCGCATCGGACGGCGACCCCCCGCCGCCCCGCGCTCCCCGGGGCCTGGCTGGCTGCAGGGTCGGGGGGCCACGCAGAACCCCGGATCCCGAGCCCGAACGTGGGGACGGACGCGCGGGGACCCACCTAACGCCTCTGCACAGCCCGCTCCGCTCGCTTCTCGGGCGGCCGGGAAGGGGCTCCGGACCCCGGCCCCGGCGCCGCCGACTCCGTGGGTCCCGGCACTGGAGGGGGCGCCGCGACACGCACCGCGCCCGGCAGCCGCACCGCTGCTCCGAGGCGCCTTTCAATTTGCGCGGGAAGGCCCGGGGCCCGCCCAGCGGAAGTGACGCCACGCATTTCCGCGACGCCGGAAGCCACCGTGGTCGGCAGCCCCGAGACTCCGGAAGTGAAGCTTGTTGAAGAGGCGGGAAGAGCTGAGCTGATTGGCCAACGTGGAATGACGCTAAGGAGTTGAGAACTTCCCCCCCCCCTCCACGCGAGCGCTGCTGGGAGTTGTAGTTCTCTCCCTACTGCAGCCTCGTTCGGAGCTGCTGAAGTTCAAAGCGCCCTCACCCTCGCGTGTCTTGGTTGTTTTTAAAGCCTCAAAAAGGGCTCCAGGGAAACAGGAGGTGCAGCTTGAGTTTTGGTAGATTTTAGGAAGGGACAGAGGTGGCGCCTGGCAAACAATTTAAGGAAAGGCAAAGGTTCTCTCCGTACTAGCCAGGATCCTCAGCCCTCTTCATTCTCAACTAGGCTGCAACCTTGGACTACATAGATCTGAAACCCCACATAGTTTTGTTTCTTTAAATTATATGTGTGTGTGTGTGTGTGTGTGTGTGTGTGTGTATAATCAATTATATATATAATATATACATTATATATATATATATATATATATATATATATATATATATATAATTGATTGCAGAAAGGAAGGGAATCAGCTGCCTCCTGCACGCTCCCCAATGGAGATGGAGCTTTGGATACGAAGAAGTGAACAATTTCTTGTATGTTTTTGCCTTTATTTGCATTTATGTTGTACAGTCACTCTTTATGTCTTTTGCCCGTTTTTTTCTCCTAAGTTGTAGAAGTTTCCCTTCCTCTGTGTTTTTTCTTTTTTGATGTTGGACCTCAGCTGTAGAGGGTTGAGTAATTGATACTCCTCATGGGCATGATCAGCATTGCTCCCTTTTATCCTGATTCGTAATCCCACTTTTTCTGCCTCCCACCCCCAACCCCCACATGTATATGAGCAAGCTTCCTAGTGTGTTCAGTGAATATCCTTTCATCTTTGTGAGTTGTTGTAAAATGCATGTATTTTAAATTTACATAAGTCAAACGGTATTGCATATTACATTTAATGATCCCCAGTAGGGGACGTGCAGGAGGCAGCCAATCAATGATTCTCTCTCATCACTGATGTTTCTAACTCTCTCCATTCCTCTCTGACATCAATAAAAATACTTTTTAAAAAAAATCCACTGCTGTTCTCTACTATATACCTAGGACTTTACTTCTAACTGCTGCAGAGTACTCCCTGAAGGGTGCTCCCACCACCTATCCCTCAGGTGCTTCTCCAGTGAGGCCCCCCTGATGCCTCCAGGGTTCCTCTCCGCTGCACCACTGTACACAGCGCTGCCATAAGCATCCTCCTCACCCCCCATTCCAGCCCGTGAGAATTTTTTGGAACACACACACACACACACACACACACACACACACACGAGTGAAATTGCTGGGTCATACCTAATTTAAAAAAAAAACAACTCAAAACATTTCTTAAGTTGATTTCAGAGATGAAGGGAGAGGGAGAGAAAGAAATATCAATGATGAGAGAGAATCACAGATTGACTGCCTCCCGCACGCCCCCTACTGGGGATTGAGCCCGAAATCCCGAACCCTGCCTGAGAATCTAACCATGACCTCCTGGTTCATAGGTCAAAGATCAACCACTGAGCCATGCCTGTGTCCTACCTAATTTGACTAACCTTCCAATTGCTCTTTAGATAGGAATTCCAGCATAAACTCCTACCAGCAGTGGAGGAGAGTTCCTAAACTATGTTTTTTCCTACACATCCCAGTCACTCCGACAGGTAACAGTGGTTACTATTGTTCCCATTTGCATTTCTCTGATTGCTAACGACTGTGAGTACTGCTTTGTAGGTTTCCTCTTGTATATATAACTAATAATGTTCACCCATTTTTTTGTTTCTTGTTTTTTTTTTCTTGTAGGTTTTCAAATCTCTTGTACACATTGCTCTATTTTCATGCCCTGTTTGTGAGAAGTGTTTTCTCTAGTCTATTTACTTTTACTTGTGCTTATGTTTTATACATTTTTAAGTTTTACATTTATCAGGTAGTCAGTTATCCTAATATTTTTTTTTATTGATTTTTTACAGAGAGGAAGAGAGAGGGATAGAGAGCTAGAAACATCAATGAGAAAGAATCATCGATCAGCTGCCTCTTGCACACCCCCTACTGGGGATGTGCCCGCAACCAAGGTACATGCCCTTGAGCAGAATCGAACCCTGGACCTTTTAGTCCGCAGGCCGACGCTCTATCCACTGAGCTAAACCGGTCTCGGCAGTTATCCTAATATTATTATCAGATTTCATCAAAAACATCTGTGAAATCTGGCAAAATAAATGGTTTCTCTCTTTGTTTTCTTCTGCATTAGTAATCTCACTGCTTTCCTCAAATAGATTATTCCAGGAATGTCAGCCAGTCATTCAAAAACTGTGTTGTCTCTTTTGATCCACTAGAGGGCAACACTTGCTTGAAAGAAACCCAGGTCCCTTCCTATAACTCATGCCCTTTTCTCTCTGAAAAAGAGGAAACTGGCTGAAATGAGCCTTAACAAATTAAATAACTGGAAATTACATAGAGGAGTTTGGACAGAATAAAAAGCTATTTTTAAAAATATGACAACTTGTATAATAAGAATGCAAGGTTGTTTTTAAGTGAAAAAAAAAAAATGAAAAAGACAAACCAGGTACATTTATTTTATTTGACTTAGGAACCAGTTCTAGTTTACAATAAAAACAAAGATGGGCCAAAACCGGTTTGGCTCAGTGGATAGAGCGTCAGCCTGCGGACTGAAAGGTCCAGGGTTCGATTCCGGTCAAGGGCATGTACCTTGGTTGAGGGCACATCCCCAGTAGGGGGTGTGGAAGAGGCAGCTGATAGATGATTCTCTCTCATCGATGTTTCTAACTCTCTATCCCTCTCTCTTCCTCTCTGTAGAAAATCTATAAAATATATTAAAAAAACAAAACAAAAAAAAAACAAAGATGGTCCCCCCCAATCGGTGGAGACCACAACCCTGAAAGGACACACCTGGAAAGCTGCAGAATGTTCTATTGAGACCTTCCTCTGGGTCCCCTTAAAGCCCTTAGGAGGGAGGACCCAGTGCCTTTCCTTCCCAGGAGCCAGTCCCCCCCCCCCTTGCCAATCCCCTCTCTCTCTCTTTTATATATATATATATATATATATATATATATATATATATATATATATATATATATATATTATTGATTTTACACAGAGAGGAATTGAGAGGGACAGAGAGTCAGAAATGTCGATGAGAGAGAAACATCCACCAGCTGCCTCTTGCACACCCCCTACCGGGGATGTGTCCACAACCAAGGTACATGCCCTTGACGGGAATTGAACCCGGGACCTTTCAGTTCGCAGGCCCGAGGCTCTATCCACTGAGCCAAACCGGTCCCGGCACAATCCCCTCTCTTTTCCATTAGCTTCCTCCTCCCATGCTCCAAGGGCCCTTTCTTTACCTCTATGCCCAGTTTCCCAGGCCCATTTCTCCTAGGAATCTAGCTCTGTAATTTACCCAATAAATGTTCTCTTACAAAAAACAAACAAACAAACAAACAAAACTAGGAGGTTGACTGGTACATTTTTTCTTTTAATAACAATTCTTTTGTATGCCACGGCATGACACAGAAGTAACCTATCTCTTTTAGTTTTTATTTCTATAGTTGAGAGTATTACAGATGTCCCCCCCACTGCCCTCCTCCACCCGGATCCCACCCCCACCCTGCCCTAGGCCCCCCCCCCATTGTCTGTGTGCACAATGCTGAGAAGTAAATTCTTTGGTTAATCTTTCCAGCTGCCTCCTGCCCCCTCCTCCTTGAGACTCCTCAGTCTATTCTATGGTTCCATGGCCCTGGTTCCATGTGATTCATCAGTTTATTTTGTTCATTCCATTCGTTGTTCATATACGTTGATGTTTAGATTTGATTGTTGATAGATACGTATTTATTGCCATTTTATTGTTTATATTTCTGATCTTTTTTTGTCTCAACGCATACTGTTAGATAATAATGAGTTCGGTGGAACAGTGGAGAAGGTGGAAAGAGCTAATAACGGGGGCCATATTATTTTACTTATGCTATTGATTTTCTTTTGTTTTCTTTGTCATGTTGCCTATGGTAACACAAGAAACACTGGCAATTTCTTAATTGCATTTCAGTGGGTGGGAGAAGCTGGCTGCGTGGGACTTGCTTGGCCTTCAGAGCTGAGCCTGCCCGAGCTCCACAAGCCGGGAGCTTCACCAGGAGCCAGCTGGTCTGAGGATACAGGGAGGGTGCGAGTGTCTGCTGGGCCCTTGCTTTCACAGCTTCCGGTTCAGCCCTCACCATTTCCGTGCAGCTCAGCCACAGCAGCCAGCTCTTGCTTTTCTCTTATTTGGGGATGACTGGGAAGAAGAAAGGCGACAGGTTGATCTGCGGGACCAAATTCCTCTTCAGACTTTTCCTCCGCAGGAACTGTGAAATAAAGGGCTGTCTATTATTAACTAGCCTTGTAAGACAAACGTAATTTTCTATAGTCAAGTTGCACCACTAATTTTTTTTAAAAAAAATCTATTCTTATTCATTTCAGAGGGGAAGAGAGAGTGAGAGGAACATCAATGAGGAGAGAGAATCATGGATCGAATGCCTCCTGCACGCCCCCTACTGGGGAATCGAGCTCACAACCCGAACATGTGCCCTGACTGGTAATTGAACTGTGACCTCCTAGTTCGTAGGTCAATGCTCAACTATTGAGATACACGGCCTGGCCGCACCACTAATTTTTGCAGAGAAAGCAAGTCCATTTATTTACGGAACTATCCTGGGTGCCTCCAGGGTAAAATGTTTACAAACAGAAGGGATGCTACTAAAGGGTGAAAAGGGCATGGGTGGAAGAGCAGATGCTTTAGAAATACTTGACTGGGCAGTTATTCATTCTGTCACTCAACTGCCCAAACTGTAAAGGATTGGTTAAAACGGAACAAAGCAGAGAAGCTTGCTAAGGATGAGATACAGCATAGAGACACTGTATAATAATATCATCAGAGGCCAGTGACTTACAGGAAAAAGAAATCAAGTGATGATCCCACAAATGAGAAAGGAAAGTTCGTTTTGGTTGGCATTGGATATGTTTGGAAGTTATACACACATATAAAATGTTGAACTCATTTGGTTAAAAAAAAAAATCACATCAAGAAGTGTCTGAACCGAAACCAGTTTGGCTCAGTGGATAGAGCGTTGGCCTGTAGACTGAAGGGTCCCAGGTTCAATTCCGGTGAAGGGCATGTATTATGTACCTTGGTTGAGGGCACATCCCCAGTAGGGAGTGTGCAAGAGGAGGCTGATTGATGATTCTCTCTCACAGATGTTTCTCTCTATCCCTCTCTCTTCCTCTCTGTAAAAAGTCAATAAAATATATTTAGGGGGAGAAAAAAGAAGTGTCTGATATTATCAATTATGTTCAGCCAATATTTAAAGCAAACATCAACTTGATTGTATGGTCTATGATGGGGAGGAAGAGAGAGAGAAGATAGAGGGAAGAGAAGATGTATAGAGTTCCAAGGTAAATAAAAAGACAAGAGAGCCCCAAGGTCCAAATTTAACTACCCGCAGCCTGGGCTTGGATACACCTGGTCAGATGACTGCTCCTCCTTCCCCCTCTAAGACCAAGTGGGAGACTTCGTTCCCCACCCAGATCAGTTTGCTAAACAGCTGAGGCAACTCCCTACGCTTCACTGGTCTTTCTTTCTTTCTTTCGTTTTCTACATATTGAATACCGGGTGAGGCAAAGCAATGCTAATATAGGACATAAAATATACCAATTATAAAACTCTAAACACTCTTTTGATTTACCTGTTTCTGGATTATTTATACCATTGTGTTTTATGCATTACTTAACAAGTTAAAAGCAACTGATACAGCCCTAGCCGGTTTGGCTCAGTGGATAGAGTGCTGGCCTGCAGACAGAAGAGTCCCAAGTTCTATTCTGGTCAAGTGCACATGCCCAGGTTGCATGCTCGATCCGCAGGAGGGGGCATGCAGAAGGCAGCCAATCAATGATTCTCTCTCATCGTTGATGCTTCTATCTCTCTCTCCCTCTCCCTTCCTCTCTGAAATCAATAAAAATATATTTTAAAAATATATTTTTTAACCTTCGTTAAAAAAAAAAGAGCATATAATTTTTATAACAAAATCTCTTCTATTGCCAAAAATTCTTACACAAATAATTGGTAGAATTGTTGATAACAAGAATCATTCGTATTTTCTTCATTAAGGGCATAAGCTAAAAAATTATGGTCAAGTTTTCTATATTAAACTAGAGGCCCAGTGAGTGGATTTGTGCACTGGTGGGGTCGCCCAGCCTGGCCTGCAACCTCTCGCAATCTGGGACCCCCTCGAGGTTATGTTGAAGAACCAGTTTCGGCCTGATCCCTGCAGCCCAGGCCAAGGGACCTCACCAGTGCATGAATCCACGCACAGGGCCTGTAGCATGCATAGAAGATCTTTGGTTAATTTCTTCCCTCTGAGATTCATCAGTCTGTTCCATGTTTCCCTGCCTGTGGTTTCCGCTCCTGCATTGACTGTCTGCCCCCTGGTGGCCAGTGCTTGTCATAGCTACCAGCCTGTCTTAGGCTTTTATATATATATATATAGATAAAGCAGCTTTTTGTTGGTTAGTTGTGTTTGTTCTCTGTTGTTCATTTAGGTGCAGACGATCCCAATCCAAGCAGAAATGGGATGTACCGTGGAATTCCAAGTGCTGACTTACTTTCTCATGTTGAACATGACCTGTCTTCTTCTTTCCTGGAATGCCGTCAGAAGACTCCTTTAGGACCTCTGAGCCAATGAGTGGAAGGAACTTCAGACTAGTAGGGCTTGGTACCTGCGAGCCACAAACAAAGAGTAAGACATACTCAAGTGATTACTTCCTCATGTGAATTAAAGGGTGGGGAGAGGGGGGAGGGGCAGGATAGGAAATGAGATGCTCCAATTGCTTTAAAATATACTCCCCGTCATAGCTGCCGACAATGAATTATTTTATTTTAATTTTAATTAATCCTCACCCTCAGATATTTTCCCATTGATTTTTAGAGAGACTGGAAGGAAACGGGGAGAGACAGAACAAGAGAGAGAAAGAAATGCTGATGTGAGAGAGACACACTGATTGGTTGCCTTCCACACATGTCCTAACCAGGATCAGGGATCAAGCTGCAATGGAGGTACATGCTCTTGAGTGAAGCAAAACCCAGGGCCCTTCAGTCCAAAGGCTGATGCTCTATCCAATGAGACAAATCGGCGAGGGCTTCACTATTTAATTCTTAATAGTTCACCCTCAGCACCAACCTGCAGCTTCAGAGTTTGATACTCATCACCATGAAGGCGTTTTGGGCAAGGAGAGGGTAACATTTTAAGAAATAATAAGTTAGAATTAAGTTGAAATATTTTATCTTCACGTTATTACTCTTGGTTAATCGATTGGTTCTTTCGTTTGACAGAGGTGATCTGGAATGGAGACCTGAAGGAGGAGGGGGGGATTTGGAAGGAAACAAGGGGCGGGTGAATTCTGGGCAGGGGGCCAGCACAGGCAAAGTCACCGAGGAGGAAGGAACGCTGATGCTTACGGAGCAGTACATGGTCTGGCTCAGCTGGAGGAGAGGGGTCATGGGAGAAGGTGGTGGAAATGAGGGCACATGGATCAGGTGGGGGCCAGAGTGTGAAAGATGGAGATGCCAGGCTGAAAGGTAATGAAGAGCTAGGATCAAGTTCAAAGCCGTTCCCCGTGGTGTTGTTCCACGGGGAAGGCAGAGGCAAGTGATCAAAGCCACTGACTGACACATAGACCCAGGGCCTCTCGGGGTCGGACACAGCCTGGTAATGGAGACATCCGTCAGCCTGGCGATGTGAACTTTCTTCAACCTGGCTCGGGAGCCCGGGGCCCGGAATGAGATGTGAGATTCCCTACTGTCCCGCCACCACTGCAGTCCTGGGAAGTCAACTCACCCTGTATATAGGCAGAGACCCAAAAACAATCCCCGCCTCCTTGTTTTCAGTCATGAAGCTTTCCAAGGGGTGCTTGAGAATCTGTAAAACAGAGGAGCGGATGTTTAATGAAAAGGGCACGTTCCCATAAGAGGCAACATTCCTGGGTTCAAATTCTGACTCTGCCACTAGACAAGTTTTTTCCCCCAACAACTGTATTTAATGAAGCTACTAACTGTTATTTACAGAAGATATATATACAATTCCTACACATAAAATGCAGCTTAATTGTAAAAACAGGAAGAAATGTACCCAATATTACGTACTAAATGAATAAAAAGTAATTATTTGGCACAATATCTATCATGTAGCAAATAAATAACTATAGCATCGACTGAATGAACTATGATATATACAATCTACTTGAAAATGCAAAACAACTGCTGAAAATTAACGTATTTGTAATAACATTTAAGTCCAGAAAATGTTTTATTTTTTTTAAATCAGTAACAATAATTAGCCAACAGTAAAAAAAATTTAATGCTCAGGAAAATATTTTCATTTTGAAAATTTTTGTGTGCATATTGTGCTCTTCTGAAATGGTATTGTTATTTTTTTAAATCGCTGGCAATTTTAGAATCTTAGAGTTTCTTAGTAGAATTTTTATTATGTAATCCTGATTTGAGAGTTTAAAAAAGTTATATTGTAAACATAAATATTATTCTATATCATTCAGAACTTAGGCAAGTTTTTGCCATTTTCCTAAAATTTTACTTTTTCTTGATTTCAGAGAGAAAAAAAGAGAGAGAGAGAGGTAGAAACATCAATGATGAAAAAGAATCATTGATTGGCTGCCTCCTGCACGCCTCCTACTGGGGATCAAGCCCGAAACCTGGGCATGTGCCCTGACCAGCAATCACACCATGACCTCCTGGTTCACAGGTTGATGCTCAACCACTGAGCCACACTGGCTGGGCCCAGGTCTGACTTCTGACTTACAGAACAGTCAAATGATTAGTGTGTGTTGTTTAAACCATTTCATTTGTAGCCATCTGTCACAGCAGCAGGAGCAAATTAATACACTGTACCAATGTCAATTCAGGAAAACTACAGTATTCTTGTTGGATGTTTAAGGATTACCTTGGGCCGAAACCGGTTTGGCTCAGTGGATAGAGCGTCGGCCTGTGGACTGAAAAGTCCCGGGTTCAATTTTGGTCAAGGGCATGTACCTTGGTTGCGGGCACATCCCCAGTAGGGGGTGTGCAAGAGGCAGCTGATTGATGATTCTCCCTCATCAATGTTTCTAACTCTCTATCCCTCCCTCTTTCTCTCTGTAGATAATAAATAATAATAATAATAATAATAATATATATATATATATATATATATATATATATATATATATATATATATATATATATTTTTTTTTTTTAAAGAATTACCTTGGGAGAAGAAAGAGACTTGAAAAACTTAAAATCATGCTCTATTTTAAAGGGCTTGGAAGGTGTCCGCTTGAAAAGCAAAGCCATGGAGCTCAGTCTCTGCCATCTGCATGTGAGGAAATAAGAAAAGCTGTTACTCACCTGTCCACACCTTTTCCCTCGGGGCCCCACACCCTCCGGCTCCCTGGCACCGGCTCTAATGATGTCACCTCTGCACTTAAGTCTCATTCCCGTTGGCTTCCCAGATTTCTCTCTCCAGGCAAACGAAAGAGATTTCTACTGGGCCTGAGCACTCCGTACTGTTAAATTCATTACGTCGCCATTGGGAAAAATACTGCATGGTAGGGATGAGCAAACCTTGGGTACCAAACCAAGTTGCTGGATATTTGGGTGACTCAGGGAAGGTTCTGTTTAGTTAATACTTACTCTTGCATATGTTTAAAAAGCCATAACTAAGCATTGAAAACATCCTATATAATAAAAGACTAATATGCAAATAGACTGAATGGTGGAATGACTGGTTTCTATGACTTGTACTGACCACCAGGGGGCAGACGCTCAACACGGGAGCTGCCCCCTGGTGGTCAGTGTGCTCCCATAGGGGGAGCTGCTCAGCCAGAAGCCGGGCTCATGGCTGGTGAGCGCAGTGGCAGTGGCGGAAGCCTCTCCTGCCTCTGCAGCAGTGCTGAGGACTCCTCTGCAGACATCCGCTGAGGGGATGTGAGAGGGCACAGGCTGGGCTGAGGGACCCTCCGCCAGTGCACAAATGTCATGCACCGGGCCTCTCGTTTAAAAAAATAATATCCCACAGGCATCTTGGACGTCAACCTGTCCAAAACCAGACTCAGTATCTTTTTTTCCAGTTTTATTTTGTGTTGGTTTCAGACTTATAGCTTAGTGGTTAGACAATCATATACACTATATTTTTCTTCAGATCTGCTAAATCTTCTTGTATATTCTGTCACAATGATGTCAGTAAAGATGAAAATCTTTATGTTGGCCCATAACAAAAGCTCTTTTTGCTTTAGTCTTTACGTGCCCCATGTGGTTGAGCCTCGACCTATGAATCAGAAGGTCCTACGATTCCTGGTCAGGCCATATGCCTGGTTTGTGGGCTCAGTCCCCAGTGTGGTGGCCAATCAACCCTCATCTTTGATGTTTCTCTCTCTCTCTCTCTCTCTCTCTCTCTCTCTCTCTCTCTCTCTCTCTCTCCTCTCTCTCTCCCCCCCCCCGCTTCCTCTCTGAAATCTATAGATTTTTCTTGCTTTATCTTCTACCATGTCTTCTCTACTTGCTCCCTGAACTTGAATAATTGGATATAATAGTGTTTCATCATTTTGTGCCTTTGCTTAGGCGATTGCCTCTTTGGTCTTTTTTATTTGGATAAATCCTCTTTGTCCCTCTGTGATTATCTTAGGAACTGATATTCTTAGCAGTTCTATTATACTGAATTATAAATCTTTGTGCATCCTCCCACTGGGTTGAAAAATTATTAAAAAGTTTTGAGTTTTTCCACCTTTGAATTTTTCATGTCCTGCACAGTATTATGGTATAATAATCCTATCCAAAGAGTAATATGCAAACTGACCATCACTCCAACACACAGGATGGCTACCCCCATGTAGTCAAAGATGGCTGCCCTGATGTGGACACAAGATGGCCATCACAAGATGGCCAGCAGGGGAGGAAAGTTGGAAGGGAGGGCAGTTGGGGGCGATCAAGCCTGCAGGGGAGAGCAGTTAGGGGTGACTAAGCTGGCAGAGGAAGGAAGTTGAGGGCCACCCAGGCCTGCAGGGGAGAGCAGTTGTGGGGGTCGGGGGGAGGAACCAGCCCTGCAGGGGAGGGCAGTTAGGGGCAATCAGGCTGGCAGGGGAGCAGTTAGGCATCAATCATTCTGGCAGGGGAGTGGTTAGGGGGTGATCAGGCTGGCAGGCAGATGTGGTTAGGAGCAATCAGGAAGGGAGGCAGGCGAGCAGTTGGGAGCCAGCAGTCCTGGATTATGAGAGGGATTGTCCGACTACCTGTTTAAGCCCGATCCTACTGGCATATCCTACTGGGATTGGGCCTAAATGGGCAGTCGGACATCCCTCGAGGGGTCCCAGATTGGACAGGGTGCAGGCTGGGCTGAGGGACCACCCCCTCACCCCCGCCGTGCACAAATTTTTTGTGCACCGGGCCTGTAGTAGTTTAATAATTATAACAATAACAATAATAATTATTATTATTTCTAAAATAGCAATAATCATGCCTTGGATAAAGCTCATTGGCTACGATTCTGCCATTGCACAAAGCTGATAATAGCTTAATTCTTGTCTGCTCTCTAAAGGAAACCCAATGGCCTTACCTTTGCCGGTCAAATACCAGAGGGTAGTCATATTTTTGTTTACTTTCTGTGAACTTGCTCTCTTCTTTTATTTCTACGGGGTACTCACTAACATCACAAGGCAAAATGAAATCGGTTGTCTGTGCTAGGTCAAAGGGTCTTCGCTGTCCAAAATACCCACAGTAATGGCCATTGAGGGCATGCCAGAGCCTGAGGAAAGGCAAAAGATAGGAAGGAAAACGTCACTGGAATCCAGTGGAAGTTATTTTGTTAACAACAAGGTTTTCATTATGGATTTTAAACTTGAGTCCAGAACTCTTCTCATTAAATATAATATGTACAAATAATGAATCATTATGCTGTACATTATTTTACAATATATACAAATATTGAATCATTTACTAATGTTATATGTAAATTATACCGTAATTTAAAAAAAGGCCCAACTGGCATGGCTCAGTGGTTGAGTGTTGACCTATGAACCAGGAGGTCACGGTTCGAATCCTCGTCAGGGCACATGCCTGGGATGTGGGCTTGATCCCCAGTGTGGAGTATGCAGGAGGCAGCCGATCAATGATTCTCTCTCTCCACTGATGTTTCTCTCTCTCTCCCTCTTCCTTCCTCTCAGAAATAACAACAACAAACAGCATGGCAGTCCATACCTCACTGAGCCATCCACAGAAGCAGTCAGCACCACTTGCTTGTCTTCTACGTAGATCGCTTGAACAATTTCTAAAGAATGAGCACGCCAGGCAAGCAGCTGCTTGAATTTCTAGATGGCAACGATAAAGCATATACCTTGGCATAAGTATTTGCTGATCAAAATTCAATCTTGAGCAAACTGTTAGTCATTAAAGAGGCCGGCTTAGGAGTGAATGGTTTGGGCATATGTGGAAGGTGATGGCGCCCATGCCCCAGTGAGTTCATCTTTTCCTTGTTAAGGTCTCAAAAATTCAATTTCTAGCCTGGCCAGTGTGGCTCAGGGGTTAAGAATCGACTTATAAACAAGGAGGTCACGGTTCGATTCCTAGTCAGGGCACATGCCCAGGCTGTGGGCTTGGTTGCCACTGGGGGAACATGCAGGAGGCAGCCATTTGCTGTGTCTCTTTCATTGATGTTTCTCTCTCTCTCTCTCTTCCTTCTTCTCAGAAATAAAAAATATATATATTTTAAAAATTCAATTTTTAGATGTTTGCTAATCTATACAGATACCTGGAACAGAAAGTACCTTGCGTCTTTAGCAATTTATCATTTAATTGAGGATTAGCAATTCCTTTAGTTGAAAATTACTAAATGACTTGATGGAAGAACAGAACAGCCTTAGGATAAAGGCTGTGGGGGAGCTGAAACCAGTTTGGCTCAATGGATAGAGCGTCGGCTTGGGGACTGAAAGGTCCCGGGTTTGATTCCGGTCAAGGACATGTACCTTGGTTGCGGGCATATCCCCAGTAGGGGGTGTGCAAGAGGCAGCTGAACGATGACTCTTTCTCATCGATGTTTTTAACTCTCTATCTCTCTCCCTTCCTCTCTGTAAAAAGTCAATAAAAATATATTTTTAAAAAAGGCTGTGGGGGAAGTGAGAGAGAATATGATCAGAAGCAGGTACAAGCAGAGTGGAAAAGTGGAGACTAAAGGAGACAGTGACAAAAAGACTTTTCCTATTTTAAAATTTTATCCAGGCATATTTTGTTCTTTTTGTTGTTGTTGTTGTTGTTGTTGGTGGTGGTGGTGTGTGTGTGTGTGTAGGGGGCTATTTATAATAACCCTATATCACAGGAATTAACAAAAGTAACGGGCCCAGCTCATTCTCTTTCAAAGACATCCTGATGCTTGATGGCTAAGTTCCTTCAGAAGGTGGCTTATTCTCAACTCTAGCAGCTCCTACACGGGCCCCAGAAGACATTGCTTAATCGGGTGAACTAACGTCAACTGCAGAGACTGCTCTGCAGTCACATTTCAGTGGAGTGTCTATAAAGCAAAAAAGATATAAAAACTGACTGTGGAGGGCTAAATGATATATAAACTCTTTTAAGCTCTGGGTTTCTCCATAGATTGTCACAAATAAGTAAACAAAAAAATGAAGCAGAGCCCTAGCTGGCTTGCCTCAATGGATAGAGCATCAGCCTGTGGACCGAAGGATCCCAAGTTCAACTCTGGTCAAGGGCACATCCCCAGGTCGAAGGCTTGGACTGTGCAGGAGGCAGCTGATCCATGATTCTCTCTCATCACTGATGTTTTCATCTCTCTCTCTCTCTTCCTTCCTCTCTGAAATCAATAAAAATGTATTAAAAAAAAACAACATGAAGTAGGTGCAAAGTGACCAGTGGCTGGCTGGCTTGCTCGTTCGCTCGCTCACTCGCTCGCTCACTCGCTCACGCACTCACTCACCCCCTTTTTCCCCCCAATAGACCAGTGTTCTTTGTCACGTGGCTTGTTTCCTAGTGTATATATGATGTGAGTGTAGGAAGTCCTGGCTTGCAGATCTTTTGTGATGTCTAGCACAGAGAGATGTTCAATCCATATACACTGATTCACAAGTTAGACAAAGACCAAGTTCTTACCTTTTCATCATGAGGTGGATCCAGGAAGGAACCAACACTGCAAAGGATAACGTGTCCCTCTGTGTAAGACGTAAACATCGCAGTATGTCATTCAGTATTCTGTTGTCTAAGTCAGCACTGCCTGCACTGCCAAGGTCTTTGGACTCGGGCATTTATAATCCTATATAATAAAAGGCTAATATGCAAGTTGACCAAACGGTGGAATGACAGGTTGCTATGATGCGCACTGACCACCGGGGGGGGGGGGAGGAGGGGGGCAGAGGCTCAATGTAGGAGCTGTCCCCCTGGTGGTCAGCAGTGCTAAGCCAGAAGCCGGGCTCATGGCTGGTGAGTGCTGTGGTGGTGGGTGGTGGTGGGATCCTCTCCTGCCTCCATGGCAGTCAGACACCCCTCGAGGGTACCCTGGACTGTGAGGGGGCACAGGCAGGGCTAAGAAGGGCCCCCCCCCTTCCCAGTGCGTGAATTGTGTGCACTGGGCATCTAGTAGTAAATAAGGTATAATCTGAGGAACCAGAAATGAAAGAAGAAACTTTATATCAATTTTTATACGTGGCAATTCTTTTCTGTTTCTGGCTTAATAAGTCAAAATGAGGTTGCCTTATACACGCAAAGTCAAAGTTCTTCCTGACAGGGTAGATGAAAGAGAGATGAGTACAAAATAAGGCCTCCTACTGAGAACAAATACTTCCTTTCCTCTCTGTTCTTGCCACCTCTCCCTTTAATAATGAAGACTAATGCAACACAACGCTTGTAGGATTAAACATGAAAACTTTAGCTGAAACCGGTTTGGCTCGGTGGATAGAGTGTCAGCCTGTGGACTGAAAGTCCCGGGTTCGATTCTGGTCAAGGGCATGTTCCTTGGTTGCGGGCATATCCCCAGTAGGGGGTGTGCAAGAGGCAGCTGATTGATGATTCTCTCTCATCAATGTTTCTAACTCTCTATCCCTCTCTCTTCCTCTCTGTGAAAAATCAATAAAATATGTTTTTAAAAAAATGAAAACTTTACCTTCTCCCCAGTATATAAGGTAAGAGTAGTCCTATACACAACTTAAAGATGGAAGAAATAGAACGTCCTGCTGTAAGGAATTAGGAATGAACTAGGAGTTCACCTCCATTTGATTGTTCTATTCATTCAGCAAGCTATCCTTAGCACTCTCAACACCTCCTCTCATTTTTGAGCTCTTATTCTTTTCTATGAACGCAGGCTGCATATTTTCCTTTTTTTTTTTTTTTTTTTTTTTTATATATATATCTCGCAGGTGAAGATAGCTGTGGCCAACTACGTGAAGACAATTACTTACCTACGTTGCTGATCAGGAGTATCCTGGAGCAGGAATCAGTGTGCAGCGATGTCAGGGAAATGGCAGAATGCTTTGTAAAAGGCAGCAAGTCTTTCAGCAGTCGCCCCTGCAGAGAGTGTAACCACAAGTTCTGGAACATATTCGTATGGGAGTTGGGTTTCTCTATAAGTAATCTATCTAAGACATTATCTTTACTACCGAGACACGATTCTATGTGTAGTAAAAGTAATTTGAAACTATCCATAGGGAACTTAACTCGTTTTCTTTTCCTTTTTTTAAGTTAAATTTTTTTTCTTTATTAAGGTATTACATATGTATCCTTATCCCCACATTATCCCCTGATCCGCAGGAACTCATTTTCTTTTTTTAATATATTTTATTGATTTTTTTTTTTTTTGAGAGGAAGGGAGAGAGAGAGTTAGAAACATCAATGAGAGAGAAACATTGATCAGCTGCCTCCTGCACACCCCCTACTGGGGATATGTCTGCAACCAAGGTACATGTCCTTGACCAGAATTGAACCTGGGACCCTTCTATCCACTGAGCCAAACTGGTTAGGGCAGGAACTCATTTTTTTGACGTTACATATTCATATAAAGGTGTAGACAACTAATCATGATTGGCATCTGGACTCTGATTATTACAGATCATTTATACATTTGGGAGTTGATTTTTTGTACTTCTCCTGATCCTTTTCATGCAATTCTGCAGATCTCTTTTCTAGTTATATATTATTTTAACTAGATACAGGTTTACGTGCATCTAACACATTACATGTGTTTTATTTTATGATGACTATTTTTTAATCCTCTCTTGATATTTTTCCATTGATTTTTTTTTTTTTTTAGAGGAAGTGGAAGAGAGAGGGAAAGAGAGAGAGAAACATCCATGTGAGAGAAACACATGGATTGGTTGCCTCCTGCACTAGCCCTGACCAGGGCCCTGGCTGGGGCGGAGCCTGCAACCGAGGTATGTGCTACTTATTTATTTATTTATTATTTTTAAAATTTCTTTATTGACTAAGGTATCACATATTTGTCCTCAACCCCCCCATTCCAATCCCCTATCCACCCCCACTCAGGCCCCACCCCCCTATTGTCCTTGACCACTGGTTAGGCTCATAGGTGTGCACACAAGCCCTTTGGTTGATCTCTCCCTTTTATCCCCACTCTCCCTCTGAGGTCCAACAGTCTGACCCATGGCTCCTTATCTCTGGGTCTGCTCTTGTTCATCCATCTATGTTGTTCACCATTTCCCTTAGATGAGTGAGATCATATCCTAGGTATGTGCTCTTGACTGGTACGGAACCCAGGACCCTTCCGTCCACAGGCCGACGCTCTATCCACTGAGCCACACCGGCAAGGCACTTTCTCATCCTTTTCTATGCCAGGTCAACAGTGGGCCCAATCACCTCTACACTCCATAAGCGCAGGTGGCCATCCTCGTGAGCGGTGACCAGGACTGGAGGCTGAGTCTCGGCAACACTGGTGCTTCCTCCAACGTGCTTTTTGTCTGCTGGCTGTTGCTCTCCCTCCGTGTCCGCTTGCTCACCTACTTGGAAGATAAATGAGCTGCCATGGTGCTGGCAACACTTGGGATTCAACATCTTCTGGGTAGAAAATACTTAAAACAACACATTATTTTCCCTAGAATTTTTTTTTTTTTTTTTTTTTTTAACCCAAGAGAGTTTAGCAAGTGGACTCCCGTATCGCTGGACAAATGGGAGAGCTTGCTTTTGGTCCTGTAGCAGCGCCTCTTCACTGTACATAACCGCGAAAACCACGTAAACATCCAGCTCAAGCCTTACACATACAGAATGGCTTATGCATCTAGTGTCAGTTTTAGAGGATTAAGAGGTGCAGTAATATTTTGGATTAAATATATATATATATTTTTATCCATTTCAGAAAGGAAGGGAAAGGGGGAGAAATAGAAACATCAATGATGAGAGAGAATCATTGATTGGCTGCCTCCTGCATGCCTCCCCGCTGGGGATGGAACCCACAACCCCGGCATATGACCTTGACAGGAATCAAACCCAGGACCCTTCAGTCCACAGGCCAACGCTCTATCCACTGAGCCACACCGGCCAGGGCACAAAGCAATCATTTTAGAATAAGGGAGCGAGGTGACTTCATACTGACCTTTGCCCTCACCGTCATGTATGCTCTGCTTGCTTCCCTGGATTAGGAAAGAAAAAGAAGATACTTCAAAATCATTGTAAGGAAATGAGATATATTGGATCAGTAGACTCGTCAGATAGCTAATATATTGCTAAGTGGTAAAATTATTTTTGGACTAATTCTTTGAAATACATGCAGAGATTTTCATGTTCCTCAATTGGGTATCTGTGACGCAACTTCCTGCTAGTGGCTCAGAGACAGCATGATGTGAGAGTAACTAAACGCCTACTTGTGTGCCTCATGTGTTCGCGGTGTACATTATTTTGAATTTTATTAACAACCATGCAGGTGGGTGTATTATTCCCTTTTCACGGATGCAGAAATGGAAACTCAGAGATTAAGGGCAGTTTCTGCGGCTAATCAGATAAACAGAACACCTGGATTCAAGTTCAAGTCTATCTGACCCCTAATATTCTTTCCATCATGCTAGTGGCTTTTAATTATTTTTTTTGCAGTGAAAACTCCCCTTTCAACAAAATCCCAACTAGAAGTGTTACGTGTAAACACATTGAAAGCCATACATTACATTGTGCTGTCTCGTCCATCTGTGAAATGTATGAATGTGTTTAGCAAAACCATTTGAAATTACTTTTTAAATGTAAAAGTAGCATCTGTGATTTATCTTATTCACGATTACATATTGACTAGAGGCCCGATGCTTTTATTATGCTTTTATTATTATAGATTATTGGAAGTAACGAAAGCCTTCAGAAATAGGGGAAAATAGATGAAATCAGTTTAGACACTGCTTTTAAGAGAAACAAAAAAAAATGTTTTATATACAGATGCACAGAACATTTTTTCCTCTTTACTTCCTTTCTTAAGAATTTAAAAAACATTTTTTTAGAGGGTGGGGAGAGGGAGAGAGAGAAACACAGATGTGAGAGCGCAACATTCACTGACTGCCTTCTGATCCTCAGCCTGCATGTGCCCTACCTGGGAATCAAACTGGCAACCTTTCGGTGCGCGGGACGACTCCCAACCAACTGAGCCACCCGGACCAGGGCCCTTTTACCTTCTATCGAATGAATGGCACAAATGCAACCACCCTGACTTTTGAATCCATATTGGGTGGAAAAGTAAGACACACTCTCCTTGTATCTTGCTTACCTTGCTGCTCTGAGGACCCCTACTAGAGTCACACTGGGAAGAAGAGCACACGGAATCCTGACTTGACATCCTGCAAGAACAGGGAGGAAGCCCAGAGAGGAAACGTTAAGATTCTCTCATGCTCACGGGTGCTCTTCTCTGCTTTGATTTCATTCCTCCTTCCATCCTCTGTAGATACTGAGCCCTTTACGTAGAAAACAAAGCACCGCCGAAATCGGTGTGGCTCAGTGGACAGAGCGTCGGCCCTCGGATTGAAAGGTCCCAGGTTCGATTCCGGTCAAAGGCATGTACCTTGGTTGCGGGCACATCCCCAGTAGGGGGTATGCAAGAGGTAGCTGATGGATGATTCTCTCACATCGACGTTTCTAACTCTCTATCCCTCTCTCTTCCTCTCTGTAAAAAATCAATAAAATATAAAAAAAAGAAAAAAAAAGAAAAAAAGAAAAGAAAAAGAAAACAAAGCACACCCCATATCTTGTGTCACAAATGCTCATCTGCCTGTGTTGGTGGAGACAGCTGGGGAGCCTCAGGAATGAAGGCTCATTGCTGCGTGGTCTGGGAAGGAAACATCTGCCCTGTCCCAGGCCTAAGGCTGGATGCAGTCCCAGGGGTTCTGACACTGCCTATAGTGGTGGGAGTGGGTAGCGTGGCTAACTTCTGCTCTCCAGTGTCCGGTTCTGGCCCTGTCCACTCTGCGACACTGCTAGAATGAGCTGAACAGCGCCTCGGAGTCTGGTGCAAGCATATCCACAGCAACTCCTCAAAATATTATCAGAATAAGGAATTTCAAGCCCATGGGATATATTCTGGCTCACCTCTGGGTGACTCAAAACTATAATAGCATAGAGACATTTAAAAATGTATATATTTTTAAATTGATTTCAGAGAGGAAGGGAGAGAGAGAAACATCAATGATGAGAATCATTGATTGGCTGCTTCCTGCACGCCCCCTACTGGGGATCAAGCCCCAAATCTGAGCATGCGTCCTGATAGGGAATCAAACTGTGATCTCCTGGTTCATAGATCAATGCTCAACCACTGAGCCACACTGGTCAGGCTAGCATAGAAACTTTTGACTTCTCTCCAGAGATGTGTTTACCATGGCCTATGGATGGAAAACCAGACCTCACAAACAACTATAAAAATACCTTCTCTTCAATATTTAAATAATAATCTCCTGTTCTCCCAGAAATGGATGATGTTAGCTCAGTTTTGGCGGAGGCCATGAGACCTGTTGCCATTTGATCTGTCCTATTGCTCTTGCAAGTCCCATCTGCATCACATCTGTGCTTATAGAGTTTGATTTTGGCTACAAGTGTGATCAAGTGAGCATTTCTCCTCTTTGCTACTGTCGTGAAGGGTGCTGTGGGTCTGACCGAGTGAAGGAAATTACATTCCCACATCAAATTGAATCCTCGGGACCATCTACTACAAAAGACAGTGACAGGGAAGAAAGCTGAAACCAGGCAGTCTACTCAATGTGCCTTCCCTCAAGTGTTCCTTTCTAAAGGCTGGGATGGGGAGAACTCTTTTTTGTCACCCACGTAAGACTCAGAAAGGAATTCTCTACCAGTCAGTACCAAGTTACCTGGCACATTCAAGGGAACGGAAGAGGAACAGGATGTCATTAATTCTATAGCGTTTGGGATCTAACTCAGGATTCACAATGAAGCAATCTTCAGGTTTGTATCTGGAAAGAAACATGTGTACATGATAAACATTAAAGAATTAGGTAACTTAAATGACTTATATTACGAATATATTACATCCAGAGCTAATCAACTCCTAAAATGTTGATATCGAACATGAAGAGAAAATGTAAGAGGTATAGAGTTTGAACATACCTTTTTAAAAAAATTTTATTTATTTTTCACAGAGAGGAAGGGAGAGGGATAGAGAGAAACAAACATTGATGAGAGAGAAACATCAATCAGCTGCCTCCTGCACATCCCCTACTGGGGATGTGCCTGCAACCAAGATACATGCTCTTGACTGGAATTGAACCTGGGACCTTTCAGTCCGCAGACTGACGCTCTATCCACTGAGCCAAACCGGATTTGGCTAGAGTTTAAATTTAGTGTGTATTTTAAGTATTTGTTGAGGTTATGAATTTTGATGAGATAACACACACAAGCATGTACTAGAGTGAGAAGAGTAAAAGTCAAAGCACTTGAGAACACAAATTCTTAAGGCTCATCTTATTTATATTACGAAAGGCATGGTACACGAGATTCGTGCACTGGGGGGTGGGGTCCCCTCAGCCTGCCTGCACCCTCTCGCAGTTTGGGGGAGCCCTCAGAGGATGTCTGACTGCAGAGAGCCTGGCTTCTGGCTGAGCAGAGCTCCCCTTGTGCACTGACCACCAAGGGGCAGCTCCTGCATTGAGTGTCTGTCCCCTGGTGGTCAGTGCACATCATAGTGAGTAGTTGTTCGGTCGATTTGCATATTAGCCTTTTATTATATACTAGAGGCCTGGTGCATGAAAATTCATGCACACGTGGGGTCCATCAGCCCAGCCTGCATCTTCTCGCAATCTAGGACCTTTGGGGGATACCCACCTGCTGGCTTAGGCCTGCTACCTGAGAACAGATGATCTAAAATAAATAATCATATCCTTGGGTAAGGATTTTAAAAAGGTAACGGTCACATGAAAATTCACTGCTGGCAGGGCTGAGAGGACTGGGGACTTCAGCACTTGCCACCCCCCAGAGGGGCTGAGGGGACTGGGTGCTGCCATCTTGTGGCTGTGGGTGCCACCATCTTGTGAGGGTGAAATGGTCAATTAGCATATTGCCTCTTTATTATATAGGAGGATTCTGGGATTTAGACACTTAGAACATAGTTTCCTCATTATAATGACTCTAAGAATGCCTCCCTTGATAGCAACTACTACTTTTATTTATTGCTTTTGTTGATTTATTTGTTTTAGCACTGAATGTTACTTTGGCTCTTCTGCGGTACAACTTATATTGTTTAAGAAAAAGATGCAACTTACAATTCTTTGACAGTGGATGTCACAAAATTCCACAAGATGATCATACCATTTAAGGTCCCAATGGCTATCAAATTAAATCCTTCTACTTGCAATATATCAATGCAGTTCACGTCTGTACTGGCCCCTGGACTCTATAAAGAAGAAAGGAAACCAACTCATTGACTGTCGTGAACACAGTAAAGAACCACGATACACATGCTGTATGTACACTTTATTATCTCATCACTAACTTAAAATGTTTTTATTATGATTTTTCAGAGAATGTGCTGGAGTAGAACTGGTATACGGTATTCTATTTGTTTCCGGTGTGCTACATGGTGATTCAACATGTCTATGCCTTACAATGTGATCACCATTGTCATGAAAACCATCTGTCATGCAAAGTTCTTATGATATAATGGACTATATTCCCTTGACTCGTGGGAACACAGATGACACATTACATCTCCATGACGCGTGTGATAGCTGAAATTAAGTGATAGCGCTCTGAAGTTCATGGCATTGTTTTCTCTGCTTTTGTGTGTGTTTGTCATGTTCCATGATAAAAGGGAAAAAGGCCAAGAAATAAAACTTACAGGAACAAGCTGTGGCTGGGTTTTCTCGGTTACCAATATAACATGTGGGAAGGGAAGGGGCGCGCTCCTGTCTTTAGTGAACGTTTTCAAGCGCACGGTGTGATAGCCATCTCGTAGGACAGGCATGACATCAGGCAGTTCCCATACCACAGCGAGACAAATGTCGTTTTCTTTACCCTTGAACAGAAATCCAGTGAGGACATGAGAAACTCAATGAACTGTTTTATTTGGAGCTGGTGTAAGGATGTAGAGAAAAAGAATAAACCGGGATGTCTCTGCCACCCAGTTCTGTCAAGTCTTAAGTTCTATCTAGCCCTCCCTAATAGAATTCCTCTTTTTCCTTCCATTTCCAGAAGTAACGAGTAACCTGAATATGGTGTTAGTTATGAAAGTTTTTATATTTATACATACATAAATATAACCCATTACATGGCTCCAAGATCACACCCAGACAATCTACCGTGTTTCCCCGAAAATAAGACATCCTCTGAAAATAAGACCTAGAGCATGGAAAGATAAGACATCCCCTGAAAATAAGACCTAGCGCAACTTTGGGAGAAAAAATTAATATAAGACACTGTCTTATTTTCGGGGAAACAGGGTAGCACAGTAATGGCTTGTGAAAAGACCGGGCGGTTTGCATAAGCACTTTTCTGAGGTTGAGGAGGATAAAATCAAGAATATAAGTGCCAAAGAGACATTACATTTCAAGCCCTCAAGGACTAGTTCGAAGACATTCAAACTTATGGGGAGTCTGCCTCAGCACATGATGCATTAGCAATGGCCTCTGAGTGGCCAGCGGTGACTATAGACGCAGCGTTTACTGTTTGTGAAATGCAGTTTGTGTAATGCAGCTGAGAGTCTGGAGGATAGAGGTCTGGTGCATCTTTCCTTCACTCCACTCCCGGCTCCAACTCCAGGAATGAACTACATTCCTGTCCCATTCATTTACTATAGTACACCTTACAGGAGGCGTCTTATGGAAAGAGCATATTGTATCACTGTTTTTCCAGCAGCAGGCCATCAATCATCTTAATCAGTGCTGGATTTCTTTTTAAGTTGTGTTTTGGGTTGTGTGTGTGTGTGTGTGTGTGAGTGTTTTAAAACGTTTTTATTGATTTCAGAGAGGAAGGGAGACGGAGATAGAAACATCAATGATGAGAGAGAATCATTGATTGGCTGCCTCCTGTATACCCCACACTGGGGAACTAGTCCACAACCCATGTGCCCTGACCGGAAAACGAACCAGAGACCTCCTGGTTCATAGGTTGACAACCATTGAGCCATACTGACTGAACTGAGCAGCTCTTCTTTCTGGTTCCTTGTTGTTTTTTTGCTTTGTTTATCTAATATGTTTTTATTGGTTTCAGAAAGAAAGGGAAAGGGAGAGATAGAATCATCAATGATGTGAGAGGAACATCACTGACCAGCTGCCTCCTGTATGGCCCCTACCGGGGATGGAGCCTGCAACTGAGGTATGTGCCCTTGACTGGGAATCGAACCTGGGACCCTTGTGTCTGCAGGCCAATGCTCCATCCACTGAGCCAATCCAGCCAGGGCCTTCCTGGCTCTGTGCTGGGACCTTGGCAAACTTACTTAGCAGCCTCCTAGGAAGGTGGGTGGGAAATGCCAACCTCAGCTGGCTGCCAAGAGAGGAGTTCAGTGGGGATGGTGCCCAGACTCAGTGGCTTTTCCCCAGGGGAGCAGAGGGAACAGGTGTCAGCGGGGATGGCAAACCTGCATTATCTTGATCTTCCCGCTGTGCTCCAGGGCGAGGAGCAGGTGCTGGTGCTTCTCCTGCACCTTCAGGAAGACCAGGCGCTTCACCCAGTGCTCCTCCTCCTTCCAGTCCTTGCCCTCGGGCAGCACCTTCATCTCCTGCCCGCTGCCGAAGTCCCAGATCTTAACGGTTCCTGCGCAGAGGGAGACGTGGGGGGTGAGAAGGAACTGGTGGAGAGCTCGGCTCTTGTCTCACAGAACAAGATCTCCTTGAAAGCTTTCTGCCCACGATTTATTCTATGTCTAGTTCCTACTGAAAGTGAGTCTCCCCGGGCCTTGCTGTGCACAAAATTCGTTTCTGTGGGCCTTGACTGGCCACAGGCTGACAAACACGAAATAGGACCAGGCAATGTCTTGAAATTGCGACCGTTTTCTTTGAGCTCTCCTGGCTGAGCTTTCTGACTTTTTAAAAAATATATATATTTTATTAATTTTTTACAGAGAGGAAGAGAGGGGGATAGAGAGTTAGAAACATCGACGAGAGAGAAACATCCATCAGCTGCCTCTTGCACACCATCCCCTCCCCCCCACTGGGGATGTGCCCGCAACCAAGGTACATGCCCTTGACCGGAATCGAACCTGTGACCTTTCAGTCTGCAGGCCGAAGCTCTATCCACTGAGCGAAACCGGTTTCAGCTGAGCTTTCTGTCTTAAGTGGATCTTTTCCGCCTTTATTCTCCCAACACTTTCCAGTTTGCTAAATACCCCCGATATCTATCCATTTTTATATCTAATATCATGCCACAGTTATTTTTTATTATTGTTTAAAATATTTTTATTGATTTCAGAGAGGAAGGGAAAGGGAGAGAGAGAAACATCAATGATGAGAGAGAATCATTGACTGGCTGCCTCCTGCACACCCCTTACTGGGGATGAAGCCTGCAAACCTGGCATATGCCCCGACAGGGAATCGAACCGTGGCCTCCTGGTTCATAGGTCCACGCTCAACCACTGAGCCACGCCTCCTAGGCAGGCCACAATTGTTATTAATAGAAAGATCATCATTGCAACAGTAAAGATCGCAGGGTCACCTCCGGGTTAGATATAATGGGCTGCCCCTCTCATATCAGTTTTTTAACTGTCCAAACTTAAACACACACAAACACACACACACACACACACACACACACACACACACCTCCAGAGTGTATAACTAATGAAATTAAATATTATGCTTGCGTGAAAATAGTGCCATCTCAGTCACATTGAATTGCTTAATGCTTATGTCTGATAAACGCTGTGTCCATTGCTCAGAATTTCTATTATGACTGATTTCACATTGTGCAGGGCTGCTAAGAGCAGGGGACTGACTGCTTTCTTGGGAATTGCCCCACGAGAGAGCAGCTGCATTCATTCAATCACATCGCATCCACCCAGCAGGGGCAATTTTATTGCATGGGTGCTGCTATCTGCTCACACTTTTAAAAAGCAAACTCTTAGCCCAGCCGGCATGGCTCGGGATTGAGCGTCGCCCTATTGAGCAGGAGGTCACAGTTTGATTCCCAGTCAGGGCGCAGGCCTGCGTTACAGGCTCAATCCCAGGTGGGGGGTGTGCAGGAGGCAGCAATCCATGTTTCTCATTGTTGATGTTTCTATCTCTCCCTCTTTCTTCCTCTCTGTAATCAATAAAAATTTTATTTTATTTTTATTTTACATCCATCAATGGGCTTTCATGCCAGGACATATGTCCCCAGAATAAATGTACCGTGTGCAGTGCATGCGGTTGGTCTAAATCAGTGGTCCGCAAACTCATTAGTCAACAGAGCCAAATATCAACAGTACAACGATTGAAACTTCTTTTGAGAGCCACATTTTTTAAACTTAAACTTCTTCTACCACCACTTCAAAATAGACTCGCCCAGGCCGTGGTGTTTTGTGGAAGAGCCACACTCAAGGGGCCAAAGAATCACATGTGGCTCAGGAGCCGTGGTTTGCCGAACACTGATCTAAATAAAGCAGTTCTTTCTTGGGAGTTTACAACACAATGAGGTGAGAGGAAATCAGGCTGTTGCTCCAGTTCCTGGAAGTTCCATGCCCTGCTCCCCAACATGAGGGACATCAAACAAAACAGCACCAGCATGTAGTGGAGCATCAGACCTATGAACCAGGAGGTCATGGTTCGATTCCTGGTCAGGGTACATGCCAGGGTTGTGAGCTCCATCCCCAGTGTGGGATGTGCAGGAGGCAGTTGATCAGTGATTCTCCCTCATCATTAATGATTCTATCTCTCTCTCCCTCTCCCTTCCTCTCTGGAATAAAAATATTAAACACACACACCACACACACACACACAAAATAACACACCACACACACACAAAATAACACTGTATACATGGCACTTACCCCCAAGGAGCTCACACGGACAGGCAAGTTCAAAGGAAAATTCTAGGTGTTCTATGACAAAGCTGGCTGGCTATGGTGTCTGGCCCCCAAATCTACCCTCATGAAAAATATTCTTAACCACCACTGACCCTAATATGTATATCATAGCAGCTGGTCCTCCAAGGTAGGACCGAACGAGTCAGTGCAACACAGATACATCGACCAAAGATGGAGGAAGAGAGTATGCGGGGAAGACTTTTGCAGACGGTAAAGCAGCTGTCTGAATGTAATGGAAAGTACTGGTTACGGTGGACATCAGTCTCAGGACAAGAATGCCCATCAGAGAAGAGTTATCACTCTCCGGTCGGGCGCTGTGATCTCGCCGTCATGGTTACGTGGTCCAGCCTGGCTCATTCCCTCCCTGAGACTCATGCGTTTCTAGAGCAAACTCTCAGAGCACTAACGCAGGGAGGCCGCGTTCTGATCTGAGTCTGACCGTTATACGCTCCGGTGGCAAAAAGATATCCACTGTCATCGATGGCTGCGGAAGTCAGCTCGGTATTGAAGCCATGAGGGTCTAGAATCTGGTATATTTGGAGGCCAGTCTCCAGTTCCCACACCTGTAGGTAAGAACAAGAAAATCAAACGCCTTTCAGCTCTTACCAAAACATTTACAATATTCAAGACGGCCTCAAAATTGGTGCCCTGGCCAGTTTGGGTCAGTGGTTAGCACGTTGGCCCCTTGGAGCAAAGGGGCTCGGGTTTGATTCCCAGTCAAGGACACATACTGGTAACTGGGTTACAGGTCTCAATCCTTGCCCTGATTGAAGTGCGTGTGGGAGGCAAGCAATGAATGTTTTTCTCAAATCCCTCTCTTTCTGTCTCTCTCTCCTCTGTCCCTGCCTCCCTTCCACTCTCTCTAAAAACCAACAGGAAAAATATCCTCGGGTGAGCATTTAAAAAAAAAAAAAATGGTGGCTGAGACGGGCAGGGACTGTCCAGGAAGTAGTCCTTGGCTATTGTAAGCATTGATTCTCTGGGGATTGAGCCCGCAACCTGGGCACGTGCCCTCTGTGGGAATGGAGCCATGACCTCCTGGCTCATAGGTCAATGCTCAACCACTGAGCCACACAAGCCAGCGGGCAAAATTCCTATTCTGATAGTAACAACTAGCTTTATTTATTTAATGGAGCCTGTCACTTGATACCAAGCAGTCTGAGCTGGCTTAAAAGACTTGTTTTTCGTGTGTTTGTGAAAGCTTAAAAATAGATCAAATGTAGGGCCACTGCGTTTACTTCATCAGCCAAAGACTTACCAGGAAGAAGAAAAACTCCACCTGCTTTGCCTTTTCCTTTCTGCAGAGGCAACACGCACTCACCTTAATGATGGACTCGGAGCAGATGGTAAGCACTTGGTGGAAGTATTTGTTGTGAAGCATGACATTGATTTCTCGCTCATGCGTGTGAGGAACCTGTTTTGTATCTTGTATCATCCGAGTCAAAGGGTACATGTCAATAACAGTAGACCCTGGGGAAAAAGTAAGAGTCTCATAAATACTCAATAATAGAAGATTATTTTCGAGCCACTAATAGAAGTTATTTTCGTTTATTATTAATCCCTACCTGAGGATATTTTTCCATTGATTTTTAGAGAGAGTGGGAGAGAGAGGGAAAGACAGAATCATCAATGTGAGAGAAACACATTGATTGGTTGCCTCCTGCACAAGCCCTGACCAGGGTCTGGGCTGGGGAGGAGCCTGCAACCTTAAAAATAAGTGTCCTTGACCGGAATTGAACCCAGGACGCTTTGGTCTGCAGGCCAATGCTCTATCCATGGAGCCAAACCGGCTAGGGCAATATTAGAAAATTTGAACCACAAAGGATTTTATCCAACCGGTTGTGTTTGGAAATAGCCAATCAGTGAGACTAGTAATATCAATGCATAGGAACTCTAATGAGGGGGAAATGCATTCATTTACCCTAAAACAATGTTGATAAATAAAGCAAATGTGATTGATCGAGAGAGGAACATCCATTTTGGGCTGCACTGATTTTCAGGTGCAGGCCATTGGGTCTCCTGATACCCTCCTTTCAGTGGTTTCTGTTTTCCTCCTTAGACGGTTTTCTCCACACCGTCTGGAGAAGGAGAATGGAGAAGGAATGGAGACGGGAATGGCAGGTGAGCTGCCGGTTAGTGACTGGAACTGATTGTCAAAGAGCCCTTTTCAACCAACAGATGATAAAAAAGAAAAAAAAAAAGAAAAAAAAAAAACAAAACCCCACCCACTGTAATCATGGCCTTATTATTTTATTTATTTTTTAAAATAAATCTTTATTGTTCAGATTATTACAAATGTGTTCCTCTTCCCGCCCCTCAATTGCGCCCTCCACCAAGTTCCCACTCCACCCTCTGCCCTTTCCCCACCGCCCATTGTCCTCATCCATAGGTGCACAGTTTTTGTTCAGTCTCTTCCCACATCCCCTTCTCCCCTTTTCCCCAAGAATCATCAGTTCACTCCCCTTCCATACCTCTGATTCTATTATATTCACCAGTTAATATTGTTCATTAGATTTTTTAATTCCCGTGGTTTTTAGTTTCACTTGTTGATAGTTACGTATTTGTTGTTCATAATTTTTATCTTTATCTTCTTCCTCTTCCTAAATAACCCCCTTCAGCAATTCACATAATTCTGGTTTGGCGGTGATGAACTCCTTTAGTCTCTTTTTATTTGTGAAGCTCTTTATCTGAATCATGGCCTTATTAAATGGAACCAATGAGAATGATCGCAAGCCAGCGCTTGCAACATTACTATTAAATCAGATTATTTTCCAAATCACCACAGCGGTACATGGAGAGCAGGTACTTCTTACTTTCCTTCTCCTAAGGGAGTTTGGGTTGGTTTTACTGTAACAGGCTGCTCTGCAAGTATGATTCAACTCTCAGAATCAATGAGTCATGCATCCTGGTTGAGTATAATGTTTTGGAATATAAATAGGAACTCCAAAGCATCCCATAGTTCAAACAAAGATAAATCCTCTTTCCTGTGTTTTTTTAAATTTTATTATTATTTTTAATGTGGATTTTCCCCTTTGCATTGAGTTTCTGAAGTCTCTCCCAAGAAATCTCAACTTTATGAAACATTCATTCCAGCAGGAGTTTCGAGTTACTAAGCCCTTTCCTCAGGTGTTCACATTTTAAGATAAAACCTACTCATGGATAAAGGACTGTGATGACTATTTTTCAATCCAAATGCCTCCAGATGGAACTAGGAGGAATATGGTAATCAGCTAGTCAAACAATACTGGGAGCTTCTCACCCTAATTAATCCCAGGGGAAGACAGAGCAGGTGGTCACTAGGAAATTGCTTAGAAATGCATTCTGGGTTGGTGTTCCAGAAGGAAGTTGGATTGTTAATATGGTTCATGTTTCTCCCAAAGCCTGAGGTTATGCGTGTGAACAGTGCTCAGCTGTGAGTGTCTCTGTAGTAAGCATGTGTTTGAAGAGGCAACGAGAAGACGAAGGCACCCAATCTGTTGGCATCACCTCTGGACATCTGTCACTTGTGTCTCTTTTCTCTCTCCCCGCTGTTCTTTGTCTAGAAGCAAAGGCAGGTAGGAAGGAGGGATGGCACCCTTATACTGTGTAACTACTGCCTCATTATCAGAACACCCAGGGCCAAAATGCCTAAGGAAAGTGGTGCATCTGCTCTAAAATGGACTATATTCCTGCCCTCACCAGTTTGGCTCAGTGGATAGAGCATTGGCCTTCAGACTGAAGGGTCCCAGGTTCATTTCTGATCAAGGGCATGTGCCTCGGTGGCTGGCTTGATCTGGGAGGCAGCCAATCAATGTGTCTCTCTCACATCGATGTTTCTCTCTCCCTCTGTCTCTCCTTCTCCCTTCCACACTCTCTAAAAATTAATGGAAAAAAATTCTCAGGTTCAGGATTTAAAAATAAAAATAAAAATAAAAATACTTCCTTTAACTATAAAATCATAGATAAATAACATGGACCATATTCCTGTTCCCAAGAGTCAAAACAGAGGTGAACTGACCTTGTCTGAGCAACAGGATATACACCCCACGTTTCTGCTTAACCCACACTGTCGCATCTTTCTAGAGGGCAGTTACACATTTTAAAAAATAATATTTTTATTGAGTTTTAGAGAGAGAGGAAGGGAAAGGAATAGATATAAACATCGAAGAGATAGAACCATCGGTTGGCTGCCTCCTGCACGCCTCCCTACTGGGGATTGAGCTCACAACCTGGGCATGTGCCGTGAGACTGGGAATCCAAACGTTGACCTCTTGGTTCATGGGTCAATGCTCAACCACTGAGCCACACCAGCCATGCAGGACAGTTAACACATTTTATCTACTGTGCTATGGGAATGCGGGAGAGAATAACATGGAATGCAATACCTACTGTGGTGAAATAGGTTTATGAATTCCCCTTCTAGTTTTGTTTTTCTTCTAGTGTGTACCCATGTTCTAGTTAAAGAAGGTTAGAGGTCAGAATACACGAGCTTTGTTTGCCATTAGTGGGGACACTTACCCGCAATGAGCATGCCGTGTGGACACTTACCCGCAATGAGCATGCCGTGGTTGGCGTCATAGATCATGGAGTAGATCTGCATGTCTCCGGGGCCGCCCTGGCTGTCATGGAAGACTTGCAACAGTGACAGAGTCTGTATGTCCCACACCCGGAACACCTGGGAAAGGAGCGCCACAGCTCACCACTGTGACCTTGGCCTTCCCCATGCACAGCTGCTTATACTTAGAGTATCTTTCCCAGTGACTGTCTGCTATTTTAGGCAGACAATAGTTGGATTCTAGATTGCCCAGTAGTTGATTTTAAGGGGGGAGGGAAGCTTCTTTCGTTCCAGTGTCTAGCTGTGTTACCTTGGCCGAGGAGAGGCTGATGACCAGCTGGTCCTTCTCGTTGGTGACGATCTCGGTGATGCTGAACATGTGCCCCACGAGCTTCCCCACGGGCTTGGTGCTGATGTTGGGGTGCCACAGCCGGAGCACCTTGTCATCTCCTGGAGACACGTGGAAGGCTGCTTATTTTCTCAGGGGAAGAGTCTGTGTCTCCCCATTTCCTCCACCCCCAGCCCCTGGAACCACCTTTCTGCTGTTTCTATGAGTTCAGTTAAAAAAAAAAAAAAAAAAAAATATATATATATATATATATATATATATTTAAAACTGAATATATATATATATATGTATATATATAATTTTTTTCCCTCTAGCCAGTTCGGCTCAGTGGCTAGAGCATCGGCCTGTGGACCAAAGGGTCCCAGGTTCAATTCCATTCAAGGGCATGTATCTTGGTTGCGGGTTCCTCCATGGATGGAGCCCTGGTCTGGGCAGTGCAGGAGGCAACCAATCAATGTATTTCTTTCTTTTTTTTTGTTTTTGTTAAAAAATATATTTTATTGATTTTGTACAGAGAGAAAGGGAGAGAGATAGAGAGTTAGAAACATCGATGAGAGAGAGTCATCGACCAGCTGCCTCTTGCACACACCCCCACTGGGGATATGCCCACAACCAAGGTACATGCCCTTGACCAGAATCGAACCCGGGTCCCCTCAGTCCCCAAGCCTACGCTCTATCCACTGAGTCAAACCGGTCTCGGCAAATCAATGTGTTTCTCTCACATCGAACAATATTTCTCTGTCTTTCGCTCTCTCTTCTACTCTCCCTAAAAATCAATGGGGGAAAAATCCTCAGTTCAGGATTAACAAAAAAATTTTAAAAATGTATCAATTTCAGAGAGGAAGGGAGAGGAAGAGAGACAGAGAAACATCAATGATGAGAGAGAATCATTGATTAGCTGACTCCTGCACGCCCCACACTGGGGATCAAGTCTGCAACCCAGGCATGTGCCCTGACTGAGGATTGAAGAACCATGACTTTCTGGTTCATAGGTCAACAGTGAACCACTGAGCCACACCTGGTGAGTAGGTACTGTTATCAACTTCATCTTATAGATGAGATTGAAACTTAAAAGAAGTTAAATCACCTGCCCAAGGTCATACAACCTGCTAGTAAGGGAGCCGGGACTTGTTCCTAAACTACTGGATCCCCGAGTCCAGGCTGAAAGCCACTGCACTGCTTTAGGACCCCAGCATCACAGATGTGCACCACGGACTGCTCTCTCACCTCCGGTGACAATGACATTGGCTTTTATACAGTAGCAGAAAGTGTTCGCTCCTCTTGGCATGGAAAACTCTCTGACAGGCCTGGGAAACACAAATCAGATGTCAAACTTGGGTTTTCCTGAGTGAAGCGAATTCTAATCTAAGTAGATTATGTTCAATGAGGCAGCTATGGCAGCCGAAGAAGCCTCTCCTGTAGACACTCCCCCTGCACGCCCTTCTCCCATCCTTTCCCTTTCACCTCTTTTAGGGCATTGCCTTTGCTTCCCTCCCTCCTAAGCTCCAGGGCCCTTCTTCTGCCTCTGTCACTTGTTTCCTGAGCCACGCAGCCCGGCTGGCTCACTTCTTTCCATCTCTGTAAGTCTCTAAGTAAACTTCCTCTTATCATTGGGAAAAAAGAAAAAAAAAAAAAACCCTGAAAGTTATAGAACATTCATGTACATAAACTATTGTACTTACGCATTATCCTCAAGTCGCTTCAAGGATTCCAAAACTAATGAATGAACACTGTCTAAGGAGCAGGATCCAAAGCAATTTAGGGTTGTAATAAATCTAATTTTCATAACCCAGTCATTATGTAGCTTCCTTTTAACACTGGGAATTAAAAGGAGAGAAAAAAAAAGGGAGGGATGATGTTAGACACACAAACACATCATGTTGAGTGTCTATTTGTCATTTCAACTTGACTTTAACCAAACTGCAAATCTGAACTGGAGTAAAGCCTGCATATATAATACAGCCCTATGCATTATACTACTTTTAATTAATTAAAATTTCATAACCTAAATAGTTTACAATGGGAAAATAAAAGATCATCATCACATTTTGAGCTATAAATTCAGAATTTAAAAAATAACATAGGAGAATTTCAGTCCAATATTGGTACTATATTCTTTACTGAAAAAAAATTCTAATAATCTTAATGAAGAGCTGTGTTTCATATTGTTTTACATCTTCTTTGAGACTATTCATTTTTATATTTTCTAATGGCTATTGATGTTTAAGTCAATAATTCCCCTACTGTTAGACACTGGATATTTTACTATTAGAAATGCCACTGTGGTGCTCGCTTCAGCAGCACATATACTAAAATTGGAATGATAAAGAGAAGATTAGCATGGTCCCTGCACAAGGATGACATGCAAAATTGTGAAGCGTTCCATATTAATAAAAAGGAAGGAAGGGACACTGTGTCAGTCAGCATGGCTCAGCAGTGAATCAGGAGATCACGGTTAAATTCCAGGTCAGGGGACATGCCCAGGTTGTGGCTTGATCCCCAGCAGAAGGCATGCAGGAGGCAGCTGATTGACCATTCTCTCACATCATTGATGTTTCTTTCTTTTCTCTCTCCCTCTTCCTTCTTCTCTTTGAAACCAATAAAAACATAAATATATTTTAAAGAAGTAACACTGTGATAGATATATATTTTAACACATGGGGATCCCGGGTCCCAACGCATAAATGTTTATGAAAGAAGGCACTTGATGCCTCTGCCCAAGTGTTTTCCACAAAGGGATCCAGCTCAGAGCTGAGCACCAGGAGTGGGGCAGTGTGCCCATCTCACAGCATCTTCCTCATGTTTAATCTTTTCCAATTTTTTAAGAGAGGAATTATATCCAATTTGAAGTGGGATTTTGTTGATGGAGAGGACACATTTAGTATAAAATGTGTTTTTCTGCTAATAAGAGAAATATATGCTTTACTGTGAAATCTTCAGAGGCACTAAGTTCTGAAGAAGACAATGAAAGTCACTCAGGGCCTTATCAATTGGAGATAACTGTAACATTTTTGCCTGCTGAGCACTGGGAAATGTGTCTTGACTATATGTACCGTGTATGCATGTGTGTGAATTACCTGTTCATGGTTTTTGCCCATTTTTCTCTGGGGGAATTTTTTTAAATTGAATTCTAAGACTTAAGAAAGAGTATTAACCTATCGTCTGTCATATTTGTTATACATATTTATTCCAGTTTATTTACTTTACATAAGTTATCTCTTGTGGCCCACATGTTTTATTCTGTGTAGAGTCAAATCTTTTTCTTTGAATTTTATAACCATATTCAAATGCTAGGAAATAGTTACACAGATCTTTTATAGCTTTCCATAATTTGTTATTTAGCTTTTTATTTAGATGCCTATAGATTTTTTTTAGATGCCTATAGATTTTAATTGTCAATAACACTTAGCACAGGAATTTCAGTGGCTACTTTTCTGTCTTCCCTTAGTACTGGAAGTCCTTTGAGGTATGAGGCATTCCTTGTTCAGTCTGATGTTTCAGATCTTTACCCTGTGATCTGACACATCCTGTTGACTACATAAATACTTTTGTTCTTATTGTGTATTTTTTGTTTTGTTTGTTTTATTCTGTTTTTTTGTTAACCCTCATCTGAGGATATTTTTCCACTTATTATTTTATTATTATTATTATTATTTTAGGGAGAGTGGAAGAGAGAGGGAAAGACAGAGAGAAACATCAATGTGAGAGAAACACATCGATTGGTTGCCTCTAGTACACGCCCCGACCAGGGCCTGGGCCAGGAAGGAGCCTGCAGCCAAGGTACGTGCCCTTGGCCAGAACTGAACCCGGGACCCTTTGGTCCGAAGGCCATTGCCCTATCCATTGAGCCAAGTGAGTTAGGGCTTAACTACAAAAATACTTGAACAATGTCTAATATTAAAACAATTGGACCACCCGTGTGATGCACTGACCTTTTGAAGTCCTTGGAGTCTAAGACCTGACTTTGTAATTTCTTTTTGGTCTTTGTCTGCTTTAACCCAAAGTCTTCCGTATTCACAGTGAATTTGTTCACAAACCCACCGTCGTCTCCCAGCAGGATGTCATCTCGGCAGAGCTGGTCCGACAGGGGCACCACACACACGCACAGGAGGCAGTGGTCCATTGGCTTTATGACGAAGTAGTTTTCCTGGCAACAGAAGAGCACTTTTCACATTTTTAAAAAAATATATATTTTATTGATTTTTTTTACAGAGAAGAAGGGAGAGAGATAGAGAGCTAGAAACGTCGACGAGAGAGAAACATCGACCAGCTGCCTCTTGCACACCCCCATACCGGGGATGTGCCCACAACCAATGTACATGCCCTTGACCGGAATCGAACCTGGGACCTTTCAGTCCACAGACCAACGCTCTACCACTGAGCCAAACGGGTTTCGGCAGAAGAGCACTTTTCATAAGTTATTACATTGCTCCAAATATCTAAATATTGAATTTAAATACTGTCCCTCTTGTTTTAAGTATTTTTTTTTAAAATTGATTTCAGAGAGGAAGGGAGAGGGCGAGAGAAACATCAATGATGAGAGTCATTGATCAGCTGTCTCCTGCATGCCCCTTACTGGGAATCAAGTCCACAGCCCAGGCATGTGCCCTGACCAGGAATCGAACCGTGAACTCCTGGTTCATAGATCAATGCTCAATCACTGAGCCACACCAGCTGGGCTGTAAAAATATATATTTTACTGATTTTTTACAGAGAGAAAGGGAGACGGACAGAGAGTTAGAAACATCGATGAGAGAGAAACATCAATCAGCTGTCTCCCACACACACCTCACTGGTGATGTGCCTGCAAGCAAGGTACATGCCCTTGACTGGAATCGAACCTGGGACCCTCCAGTCTGCAGGCTGAGCCAAACCAGTTAGGGCTGTTTGTATTGTTTGATAAAAGTTTTATTTCTGGCTCAGTGGATACAGCCTCAGTCTGTGGACTCAAGGATTCCAGACTTGATTCTGGTCAAGGGCACATGGCTGGGTTGCGGGCTTCATCCCCAGTTGGGGGGGAGGTGCAGGAGGCAGCCAATCAATGCTTCTCTCTCATCATTGATGTTGCTATCCCTCTCTCTTCCTCCTCTAAAATCTATTTTTTTTTTAAATTTTAAAAACGACAAACACAACTAATAACAAAACTCAATACCCCCCACGTTAAATACACACTAAGTGGAAAATATTAATGGTAATGTTAATGCTGAAATCGATTATGGAGTCAAATCCCCTCATTTTACATTTAAGGAAACTGATCTTCCATAGACAGAGGTGGTGCCCGTATCCTCCCAGCGTGAGAAAAGACAATCTCATTTCTTCAAGTATTTCTCTTGGTTCGGTACCTGGCTGCTCCCTTGGGCTTTATAATCCCAGACAATGATGGTCCTTTCCGTGGTGGCGACGATGCGCTTCAGCTGAGAGAGGTAGTCGCAGCCCGTGATCCAGGAGGTGTCCTGGGAGGAAAGCACGGCAGTGGAGGGGGTGTATGCTGCGCCCGTGATGGTGATGGCAATGTGATGGTGACTGACAGACAGGTGAGTGGCATGGAGAGCCCTGTTTGGCCCCCTTATTGGCAGAGGAGCCTCCCAATGTCTCCTCTGGGATGTCATGAGGAGGGTGTCACCTTCTCCCCTCTCACCTTCCGGAGTTTCTGAGCAGCAGCCGTGGGCAACAGCTCTGGAAGCACGTAGCGGCGGGCAGAGCAGTCACCTGTGTGCCCTGGCCATGTAGGCGAGAACAGGGACATACATCTGAGACCCGCTTAATCCAGGCCCCTGGCCCTGCAGCCATGCTTAAATTTTTTTTTAAAAAAAATATATGCTTATTGCCCGATCAGAGTGGCTCACATCAACTATGGAATAGGAGGTCACTGTGGGGCGTGCAGTAGGCAGCCAATCAATGATTCTCTCTCATCAATGATGTTTCTATCTCTCTCTCCCTCTCCTTCTCCCTTGCTCTCTGAATTCAATCCTATCTGATAAAGAGGGAATATGCTAATTGACCATCACTCCGTCACAAAGATGGCTGCACCCATATCTGAGGCCAAGTTCCTATAAGGAACCTTAACAAGCAATCAGCAGGGACCTGAGGCTACCCCTCCCCTGCTCCCGTGGGGCTTGACAGGGGACCTTAGGCCACACCCCCTGCCCCAGCATGGGCCAGGGGACCTGAGGCTGCAACCCCTGCCTGACTGGGCTTGACAAGGGAGCTCAGTCTGCGCCCCCACCTAGAGAGGCTTGACGGGGCACCCAAGGCTGTGCCCCACCCCTGCTGGTGGGGCTTGATGGGGACCTCAGGCCATGCCCCCCATCCTGGCACCCGGCCAGGGGACCTGAGGCAGGGTTTGACAAGGGTGGGACTGGCCCGGCCTGGATCTAGCCCAATTAGGGGGAGGGGGCGGCCGGGTCTGAGTCTCACGTGATTTTGAGGTGCATGTGGGTGGGCGGGGACTTGACTCTCTTGGGCCTGTGGTGAGACCCAGACTTTGACAGGAGAAAGGTTTTCATATAAATTTTACTAATTTTCTTTCATCTCTGACACTTCTATTATAGAGAAAGGGCAAAGAGCAACATTTAAGTTATTTCCGCTAATTAATCCCTTTTTAATGTGCACGAATTTCATGCACCAGGTCACTAGTAAAAATATATTTTAAGAGAGAGAGAGAGAGAGAGAGAGAGAGAGAGAGAGAGAGAGAGAGAAAGGCATAGAGGTCTGGAGAGAAACTGGACTCTTCCCCCCTCTCCCATGGCCTGGCACCTCCTTTGTAGTTCAGTGCCCTGGGTGCCAGCAGGTAGGCTAGCCAAGCATCTCCCCCAACCCCCCCACCCCCAACTCCCCATAAGGCATGCTGGGATGCCGGGAGCAAACTGCTCCAGCTTTACACCTGCAGCTGGGCTGCTTTCCAATTAGCAATACGCATTAAAGAAATTCCATCAGTGCACTCAAATGCTTATGCTGTTTTCAAGTTTTAAAAACAATGTTTTAAAATTACTCCTGTTGGCTGTTTCTCACAGGATGGGTTGTGTCCATTGTTTACGTTCCGGAGTACTGGGTGAAGCTTTAAATGGGAGCTCCTGGGGGTGATTAGTTTCTGGGAAACCCATTTCACCATGCCAAGTGGCATCTGGGTGCCCTTTGCTGCTGCCCAAGGTTCAGCTGTCGTCCGTACACCTGAATGCACAGACTGTGAAACATCTTTTCCTCCGAGCATGTTGCTCGGCTCATGATCAGTGATGGAGACACCATCCTCCTCGGCCTATAAGTGACTTATGAGGAATTTGTAAAATGCACTTACTGTGACCGTGGTGCTGTTCTGCACTCGCATCTGTAAACAAAGGGAGAGAATACGGAAGCCCGGTTGGCGCTACAGTCACCGGCGAGAATGCTGACTGGAACAGCCCGCTCTCCCCTCGGTCCAACCGGCTTGTCCTCTCCTCCCCCACCGCTGCCCTCCCTGCCTCTCCTCCCTCGGAAGGGCCCAGCTCTGTGGAACTCCCTGTTCTGTGTGTCTGTCTCTGAGCCTGGGGACAGCTCTCGGGGTCTCCCACGTTACTAGGGTGGAGGGGAGACCAAGGCTTAGATTACCTGGTTGTTAAAGACCGTGATCAATCCTCTCTGAGAAGCTGCGATTAGCAAATCCAACTGGGGGATCTTGACCATGCACTTCACCACATCCCGTCTCCGGCTCCCTGTCAACAGCACAATATTCAGTTCGACTCCCAGCAGGAAAGACCCTAAGAGGCACTTGTTAGGTTTGTTAAGAAAGAAAAGGAAGCAACCAACTCATTCTCAGCAGAGAAACTACTGCCCCCAAGAGGGTGAACACGGGTGCGGGTGCTTGGGCATGTGAATGAGTCTCCCTCTTTCTGTGTCCAGCACACACATGTACGTGCGGTACAAGAACAGCTGCACACACAGTGCTGTGGGGTGAGGGGAGGGCGCTGGGAGGGGGTTGGGGCGAGAGGACCCACCATTGAGTCCTTTAGAGCAATGACAGAAATTTCAAACTCAGCTGCGGGTACCGTTTCTTCTGCTATTGCACGTGGAACTGTCACTTTATAAAGAAAATGAAACGGAAAGGGCTTCTATGGAAATGTTATTTTCCAATATTTGTTTCTGAGGAATCAGGAACACCCATATTCATCTGGAAGGAAAAGTCATACTATCACCTGTAATTACGACTCGCTGTTTTCTAGACACAAGGAAAACCAAATTTTCTTCGTCCATGTGGGAAGTAAGAGGATCTTCTTCGGAGGAGTAATATCCAAAGATCTAAAATCCCAAACGGCACATGTCAACATGAACATTATTTCAGAACCCACTGCGAAGTAACAGACTGGACGCTGGTCGGGTTTAAAGTCTTGATTTAATGCTCAACAGCTAGCCCAGCCGCTGGGGCCGAGTGGTTGAGAATAGACCTAGGAACCAGGACTTCACAGTTCGATTCCCGGTCAGGGGACATGCCCGTGTTGTGGGTTCGATCCCCAGTGTAGGGCGTGCAGAAGGCAGCTACTCAATGATTCTCTCTCATCACTGATGCTTCTATCTCTTCCTTCCTCTCTAAAATCGTTAAAAATATATTTTCTAAATAAGGTCAACACCTTGTTTTGTAAATTGTCAGAAGGTCCCCATAGGAAGAGAAGGCAGTTTATTTATTTATTTTTTAAAATATGTTTTATTGATTTTTTACAGAGAGGAAGGGAGAGAGACAGAGAGCTAGAAACGTCAATGAGAGAGAAACATCGACCGGCTGCCTCCTGCACACCCCCTACCGGGGATGTGCCCGCAACCAACGTACATGCCCTTGACCGGAATCGAACCTGGGACCCTTCAGTCCGCAGACCGACGCTCTACCACTGAGCCAAACCAGTTTCGGCATGAAGGCAGTTTAATATGTTCAACACACTGTGTGTTGATGGTGCAGGATCCTTGATTTTCCTTTCTGATTACTGATGGATGGACCAGGCTGGTATCCCTGCTCAGACTGGTAGTTCTATTGGGAGCTGACACTTTGACTTAATTATTTCTTGTAAAAAAAAAAAAAAAAAAAGAAAGAAAGAAAGAAAAAAAACACCACATGCATTTCATACTGGAAACAGGAAGACAGGCTACCTCACACCAGTCCGTGGGCGCATCGGGGTTGTTGCAGAGTTTCCTGTAGAAGCATTTCACGTCTTGATTCTTCACCTCCAGACCGAAAAGCTCCTGGACCGCCGCAAAGAACTTCTCATAGTTCATCACCTCTGCGCGGGAACGAGGAGCAGAGACACGGCATCAGATTCCAGGAGCTGCACTGCCTGTGGCGGCGGCCTTTTCTGCCTGCTAATCTGCTCCGTAATTTCACCCTACAAAAGCTCGATTCTTGTGCACTTTATGTATTTTTTAAAAAAATATATTTTATTGATTTTTCACAGAGAGGAAGAGAGAGGGATAGTTAGAGACATTGATGAGAGAGAATCATCAATCAGCTGCCTCTTGCACACCTCCTACTGGAGATGTGCCCGCAACCAAGGTACATGCCCTTGCCCGGAATCGAACCCGGGACCTTTCAGTCTGCAGGCCGACGCTCTATCCACTGAGCCAAACCGGTCCAGGGTTATGTATTTTTTTTAATTAAAAAATTTTTAAAATATATTTTATTGAGTTTTTTACAGAGAGGAAGGGAGAGAGCGAGAGAGAGAGCTAGAAACGTTGATGACAGAGAAACATAGACCAGCTGCCTGCTGAACACCCCCCACCAGGGATGTGTCCACAACCAAGCTACATGCCCTTGACCGGAATCGAACCTGGGACCTTTCAGTCCGCAGACCGATGCTCTGAGGCAAACCGGTTTCGGCTAATTAAAATTTTTTAAATTGATTTCAGAGAGGAAGGGAAAGGGAGGGAGAGATAGAAATATAAATGATGAGAGAGTATCATTGATCAAGCCCATAATCCAGGCATGTGCCCTTGACCAGAACCGAACCCGGGACTTTGCAGGCCAACGTTCTACTTACTGAGCCAAACCAGCTTGAGCTCTTCCGAACTTTAAAGGTTTTCTTTCCATTGGAAATAGAACAGGGGACTTGGCAAAAGATGACGTAGTCAGAAGAAAGTATTACTTTGGTGTCTAGTACCTCCTCCGTAGCTTATGTTGCAACTATTTTAGAAGTTTGGTTCAGGAATACAAAGATCAGAAATGAGTCACAGTTTTCTTATTGTCACAGTTCATTCCTGATCAGGGCACATGCCTGGGTCGTGGGCTTGATCTCTAGTATGGGGCCCGCATATCAATGATTCTCTCTCATCAATGATGCTTCTCTCTCTCTTTCCCTCTCCTTTCCTCTCTGAAATCAATAAAAATGTATTTAAACAAAGAAACAACCAAAAAATGTGGCCCAAGTTGGTTTGGCTCAGTGGATAGAGCATTGGCCCATGGACTGAAGGGTCCTGGGTTCGATTCCAGTCAAGGGTCAAAGGCATGTACCTCGGTTGCAGGCTCAGTCCTCGGCCCTGGTCGAGGTGCATGGAGAAGACAACCAATTGATGTGTCTCTCTCACATCGATGTTTCTCTCTGTCTCCCTCCCTTCTACTCTCTCTAAACAATCAATGGGAAAAAATCCTCGGGCAAGAATTAACAAACAAAAAGTGAATGTATGGCAGAATTAGCCGTCTGATGAAAGTCAAGATTACATTTCTCCCTTCTCAATCTGCAGGTCAGTCCCTCTGACATAGAAGGTAGTTTGTTTAGTAGTACTTAGTTTTTATCAAATTTATACTTTATAAAATATATATTAATATTTGTGTAAAATATATATGTATTCTCTCTATATAGGTGTGTGTATATATATATATATATATATATACACACACACACACTATGTATACATATACTGTAAAGGAATACACACACACACATACTGATACTAGAAAGATATTTTTGAATACGACTTTGTGATTGCAAGCTTTTACATGAAAACAAGTTTAGCTTGCCCTGGGCTAGCCCTGGGTTATAAAGCCTTCAATGCATTCCAACTTCAATGATGAGGGAGACGGGGTGGGACCCACACACAGACAGCAGCCTCAGTAGTTCAAGTGCATCAGGCAGATTCCTAGATGGCAATTCAGCGCACTGAGTGCTAAAGATGGCTTTGCTTGGGGAAAGTTTGGAAGTTTTAAAAGGAGAGGACATTTGATTTAGGTCTCGAAAGAGGAGTAAGGGTTTCCTGGTACGAAAAGGGGAAGAATGCACCGGGGGCAATGATAGGTGCCAAGTCAGAGTGGGTGAGAGTAGAAGGTGCTTGGAGATGCTGAGAAGTTTGTGTTAGGACAGAAGGTGCTTGGAGATGCTGGGAAGTTCCAGGAACAGCCTGGCACATGAAGAGGCTGGCCATGCTGATCCCTCAGCCGCGATGTGGACCCTGTCCCTCTCCTTGCTGTAGATGGATTTCTCCTGCTGCTCCTGTACTTTGCTGCCAGGCCTTCCCCTCCTCTGGTTCCTCCGTGCCTGAGGCTGCACACCACACCCCTGCCCTGGAACCTTAACCATGGGGGCACACTCTCACTCCTTTTATTTCTGCTGTGAACAGTCCTGGCAGATGGCTGCCCGCCATATTCCCTGACTTGGCATGCTCCAGATCATTCCAGCCTAGAGACTCCGGGAGAGGCCCAGACAGAAACTCTGTATGGTCTCAAGACTCCCTTAGGTAAAGAGATGGCAGGGCGGGCCCTGGCCAGGTAGCTCCGTTGGTTAGAATATTGTCCCACTCTGCCAAGAATCTCTGGTTAGGGCATATGTAAGCAGCAACCAATGGATGCACCAATAAGTGGAACAACAAATAGATGTCTGTCTCTGTCTCTCTCTCTCTCTCTCTCTCTCTCTCTCTCTCTCTCTGTGTGTGTGTAAATAAAGTTAAAACCTTTACAAAGAGACAGCAGGATAGCTCACGTGTACCGCTGAGTCCCAGATCAACCAGTGAGCCATCCCTGGTAGATCCTGTAGAAGAACCCTTAGATGTCATTTAATCCAACCCCCTCATTTTATACCTGAGAAAATTAAGGTTCAAACAAGTAAAACAAACAAACAAACAAACAAACAAACAAACTTTCCCAAGATCACTTAGCTCTCAGGATTGAGACGGAATGAGGAGTCAGGCGCCCCAGTTGGTGTCTTTGCTAATGAAGCTGAGCTGCCTCTTTCCTGGACCGCCCTGGAACCACCGATCTCACCTTCTTTTTGGGTAAACAAGCCTGCTCTTTCATCTTTTTTCTGGGCTGCTGTAAGTTCCACCAGCCTTTCGAAGCCCCGTAGGGCTATCTTGAAACTGACCACCTGAAGGGCATTGTTGAACCACTTTTCCTTCCCAGGATCCATCGGGACTCAGGGAAGCTTTTATTTCTGTGCAGAGAAAAAAGGGGAAAAAAAAGAAAAGCAAGCAGATTCGCCAAGGTGGATCGCCTCCCCCTGGTCACGTTGCCTTCCTGCTGTCTCGGGGGCTCTAGGACTCCTTCCTTTGGTCTTACAGCCCCATTCTGTGGGCCGGAGGAGCCTGAGCCTTCACCAGGGTGTTGGCAGGGAGCAGTGGGCCAGCATTTCAGGGAGATCTGACCTCACAATGTGACCAGGGTCCTTCCCAGGGGACCCACTGCATCATAATCTCTCTGTGTAAGGAGGCAGCTGGGATTTATTTTCCCACAAAGTGACTGTGTGTGCGTGCGTATGTGTCTAAGGTTCCAGAGAGGGAAGAAGAAGGGTCAGGACCAAGAAAGGAAACCGGCGTGACTTTCTCCCTCCGTATCTGCTCCCAATCCTTTGCCTTCTTCCTCAGGGCGCCTTGGAGAGTAACATTCACTTTCATTCCTGCGGCTTCCCTGGATAGGAAAGCATGAACTTGTAAAAATGAAAATGTATCTCAGCGCCTGCCATTTCTGTCACAAATGGAGATATTTTTAGCGGTCGGAAAGAATAAAAATGCCGCCTGGAGGCATTGTCCTTCAGTGAAAATAGCAAAGTGAGCCAGGGGAAGGGTGAGCTTCTGAATGAGAATTAAGTTCTTCAAGGGGTTATTCATTGAATGAGAAGATTTTCTTCATATCTTCTTTCCCTCTTCTATTGGAGATTGTATCCAATGTTTACTCCAGTTGCTGCTGAATCAAATTTTTCAATCTTCAATCCTTTATGGGAAGGAGAAGTTACTAATATTTTATCAACAATTAGTTGGAATCTTATTGTCTAGGTGACATACATGGAGTCCATCTTTAAAAACATTTGCAAGGTGCCCAGTCAGCATGATTCAGTGGTTGAGTGTTGACCTATGAACCAGGAGGTCATGGTTCAATTCCCAATCAGGGCACATGCCCGGGTTGTGGGCTCAATCCCCACTAGGGTGTGCAAAAGGCAGCCAATGATTCTCTTTCATTATTGATGTTTCTATCTCTCCCTCCCTCTCTCATTCTCTCTGAAATCAATAAAAATATATTTAAAAAACAAATAAATTGCATAAGAAGACAAAAGAAGGAGCAAGGACAAATAGATTTAAAAGAACTCCCAAGATGCACTAATCAATCATTGTGTGTAAACTTTATTTAGATCCTGACTCAACCAAACTGAAAAATAATTGCGACACGTATGAGACAATTGCAAATTGGAACACCAACTGGATGTTTGATGATATTGAGAAATTACTGTTTATTATTTTAGATGTATTACAATTTGTTATGTTGCTATTTATGTGATAGTCTACATTAGAGCTACATATTGCAATATTTACAGCTAAGCATTCAAATACAAAGGAGTGGTAAGCTGTGTGGAATAATGCTAAGAAGGTACATAAAATGCGGACCGAAAGCACTGGGATATGGATTATGTTGACCTTGAGAAAAGCTATCTGAGTGGTGCAATGGATTAAAGAGAGAGTAGAAGGAAGGGATGTGAGAGGGTAGGCAAATATGCATTTTATAGCACTGGCTTTTGGGAACATCTTAAAAGTGGAAGTTGGCACAATTCACAGCTATTAAGCTATTTCCAGAGCAAAAGGATGTATTTGTACTCTGTTCTCATTTGCAAAAAGGATATAACCACAGACTTACAGAACATTAAAAGTGACCACCAATATTTCTTTCTTTTTTTAAAATATATTTTATTGATATTTTACAGAGAGGAAGAAGGAAGAGAGATAGAGAGCTAGAAACATCGATGAGAGAGAAACATCGACCAGCTGCCTCTTGCACAACCCCCACCGGGGATGTGCCCGCAACCAATGTATTATACATGCCCTTGACCGGAATCGAACCCGGGACCTTTCAGTCCACAGACCGACGCTCTACCACTGAGCCAAACCGGTTTCGGCGTGATCACCAATATTTCTACCATTCTTCTAAAACAATTGATCTTTTGAATACCGCCTTCTAGGCCCAGGCCACATATTCTCATGACTGTACACAGTCTCAATAGAATTATGCACATTATGGAAATATTAATGTATTGGCTCATAAAGCTGTATTCATCATTCTAATATCCTTTACAAATATAATTTTTTCCTTTTCACTTCATGTGCCTTATTAGCACTATTTGGCACAGCTTTCCTTCTATTTCTTTCAATTAGATATTTTATTAATTACTTTTTAAATTATTATTTTAAATAAATCTTTATTGTTCAGATTATTAATTACTTTTTACATATGAATGATTATGGAAGGTGACCGACATAAAAATTCCGAAGAAAACAGACTTCTAGCTGTGTAAGGGGAGAAAGTAGTATCACTCCTACAACTACCCTGTTTCCCCGAAAATAAGACAGTGTCTTGTATTAATTTTTTCTCCCAAAGTTGCACTAGGTCTTATTTTCAGGGGATGTCTTATCTTTCCATGTACTAGGTCTTATTTTTGGAGGATGTCTTATTTTCAGGGAAACACGGTAGGTGCAGTGGTTTCCCTGAGCTACGAAGGCCTCAGCTTTGATGGGTCTTGAGAGAGCCATGTGGTTAGGTCTCAGCTGGTCAGTGACATGGCCCAGGGACCGGCCACCTGGTAGAAATCCTCTTAGGATAGGTAACTGATTTTCTGCTACCGAGTTCACCACGGCCAGTTCTCACGATGAAGAGGTCAAGGAAGACCTTCTCTGGGGTGAAATGAGGATTCTTAGGTGATGCGTGTGACGGGACACAGAGAGGAGGCAGGGTTTCCCATGGGCAGGATGCTAACGGACCAGGTACTGGGAGGGATCTGGGCCATACTCACCCAGGTATGTTCAGGATGAGAACATGACACGAGAGCAGAAGGTATCTTTTTATTTTCTTAATGTTTTTATTGATTTTTAGAGAGAGAGGAAAGGAGGGGGAAAGAGATAGGAACATCGATTGGCTGCCTCCTGCACGCCCCCTGCCGTGGATCAAGCCCGCAACCTGGGTGTGCGCCTTGACGAGGATTTGAACCGGTGATCTCATAGTACTATTTGCTGAAAACATTGTCCTTTCCCCATTGAATGGTCTCGACGTCCTATTGAAAACCAGCTGACCATATATGTGAAGGCTTCTATCTTTTGTTGGTGTTAATCCTCATCTGAAGATTTTTTTTTTCCTGTTGATTTTTTTAGAAAGAGTGGAAGGAAGGGAGAGAGACGTAGAGAGAGAGAAACATCAATGTGAGAGAGACACACCGATAGTTACCTCCCGAATGTGCCCTGTCTGGGACACAGAATGGAGCCTGCAACCAAGGTACATGGCCTTGACCAGAATTGAACCCAGGACTCTTTGGGTCCACTAAATGACATTCTATCCACTGAGCCAAACTGGCTAGGTCTGAAGAATGTTATCGTTATTCTGTTCCTTTGGTCTGGATGTCAGCACTTGCTTATTAGGTCATAATTTTGCCATCATCCTATCATTATGTAATTCTGACAACACATAGCATTATTGCAATAATATTTATATGAACACTAGAGGCCTGGTGTATGAAACTCACAGGCGCACCGTGCTGGCTTATGAAGGGGGCTAGCTTATGCATGGAGGGATGAACAAGAATGTTCAGATCAACATGACAAAGCCCCGGATGAACAAGGGTCGGGGCCGGCTCTCAGCCTCACTCACCTTGTCACGCACCAGCGCCACTTCCGGGCTCCTCTCGGGCGCACCCCAATCCGCGGCATCTCTGCACCTGCCCGCGGGGCCTCCATCGCCTGGAACTAGGGTGACCCGCCGCTGCGATGGACCAGCAGGAGCGTGTGCAGGGGAGGATCTCGCGAGACTTCACGGCGAGATTTCATCACGCGAGACCTCACCACGCGAGATTCCGCCTCGCGAGACTTTATCACGGCCCGGCCCAGCGCGCGGTTTGCTGGGGGCGTGGGTTCTTGCTGTGATTTTTTCCATTGACTGTTTCCGGTTGCCCCGTGGCCGCAGGTGCGTGGAGCTGCAGGTGCGGGTCGGATTGGGGACCCCCTGCCCGGGGTTTCCCCAGGCCCCAGCTCCCATGGCAGGGGCGACCCCCATTTCTTCTCTCTCTCCACGCCTTTGCACGGCCGCCGTGGTAATTGCTATAATAAATGGGATGGGGTGGTTATTTCCCGCTCTCCTGGAGGCTGGGAAATCCGAGTTCAAGGTGCTGGCTGATTTTTTTTTTTTTTTTTTTTAACAGAGAGGGAGAGAGAGAGCTAGAAACATCGATGAGAGAGAAACATCGATCAGCCGCCTCCAGCACAATCCCCACTGGGGATGTGCTGGCAACCAAGGTACATGCCCTTGGCCGGGATCGAACCTGGGACTTCTCAGTCCACAGGCCAAGGCTCTATCCACTGAGCCAAACCGGTTCTGGCAACCACGTATATTTTAAATAAATACTTACATACCTATGTATAAAGAGGCAGTGTTATCAAAACCTTATTTTCATCTTATTCAAATGTAACAAACAGATCACTGAAAGCCTTAGAATTTATAAGGCATGTGATAATCTTAGAATTCTTACTTCTTTAAAGGAATAGAAAGACAATGATTTGAAGTGCAGAGACTTTATTTGGTACTTCTAGCAACATCGACACAAGATACAACTGTCCAGCAACAGCTCGCACCGTGCCCACCTGCATCCGTGTCGAAGATGATTTTTTTCAATACTCTATTTTGTAAGGATAGAAAGTCAAGATTTCACAGTACGGGTGAAATCTGTTTTTACCATGAAATCAACTTGTCATTAGTATTTCTTCCATTTGCTATCAGAAAACAGCACAATTACATTGTTAGGCATTTTATTTACACCGAAGACTTGGAAGACTCAACAAAGCATCAGGGAGTTTATCAACAGATCTAGGACCCACCCCTCCTCTCCTCCCTGCATCCCCACCTCCTTCAGGGTCCCTGTCCTTTAAAATGACACTTGTTATA